TGAGCACCGGAAGCCTCAGCGGGATCCTAGAGAAACAGCCGATGCTTTGCTGGCAGCACAGCAGGTTTCCGCCTGCTCAACTTGCCTTATGACCTCACCTCCAGTGCCAACGAGTGCTCCAACCTGGGTTTCCAAAAGAACATTGACATGCATTCAAAACGCACTCATCAAACACTCTAAGGCTTGGGCACGCAAGGCTGGGACCTCACAGCAAACGGAATACCTGCCAGGAGGCTCACGACACTCTTGCTCTACTTTTGGGCAACACTGGGCGACGTGCGACATATCGACTGTTCCAGGCGGGAAACTCTCCAGCTCGTTGGCCTAAGGACAAGACGATAAACTTCAGATTCATGCATGACAGTGAATCCCCAAACGCTTGGACCTGTCACTGAGCCTTCGGCCAAGGAGTCTACCTCCTGAGAAAGCACAGCATGGTAATGCATGGTACATGCCACGCCAGTCTTTGTCCCTGTCTGCCAAGTGTTTACCCCATCATGAACTCTGGCTTTAGTTTCCTCATGTCCCAACCTCAAAGCCCAGAGCATTAAGGAGCCTCTTTAGCCTGCCCATTCTCTGCCGTGTCCACCGGCCGTCCTGCTCGCAATGTCGCTCCACATCACTTTGAAGGCTGAACAAGGCTGAGGTTGGAGCCTTTGGCAGGTGGTAGTATCACCGCAGGTGGGGGCGGTGGCACTATGCTCTTGAGCACGCCGTCTAAGCTCTGACCTTACATCGCATCCGGCAACATGGAAAGCCGAACCCATGCTCAACAAGCTTTGGGTGCATCACACATGACCAAACTCGGCGTCCTAAGGCGCGCGCCAACCTTCTGAGAAGCCTCGTGGATAAGCAAATTCTGCGCTGCAGCTGTTGGGATGTGTGTGAGCATGAAAGAAAGGTCTTGCCTTTGGTAACGCCTTAAGCGTAGATGCTCGCGAACCTTTCCCGGCCTGCCGACAGAATGCCCATGTCAGATTGGATGAACTGCTGCAGATGCAAAGCCTTGCGAGGTGCCTGTGCCTTCAAAAGGACTCCGATGAGACGAAAGAATCTGAGAGCACTGCAGGATTGGCTGCAGGCGGTGCAACCCCTGCAGTGATCATGCTGCTTTTGGCGAGAGGGTTCGGGCGTGACTCGTGTCTCGGGTTGGGAATCACACGTCGAGGGCCCGGTGGCTTGTCGAGGTCCTGGAAATCAAGGCAGGAGTCTTCACATGGAGCCACTTCCACGCGCAGGCTGGACAATCCTTGGGCTCAGGAGGGGGCTCCCAGCCACGCTGCACGGCCTCTGAATCGCGTAGTGAAGCCCAGTGTCTCCGAAAGCTCACACCACTAGCCCTGAAGCTGCACCTGGCCTCGCCAAAGTTGACAACGCGGGAGAAGCCGTGGTAAAATTCTTCCTGTCGTGAAACATCAACGATGTTGCGACTTCAAAGCTACGGCTACGGCGTGAACTGCTCCTCGAACTCGCTCTCGCATTGCACAAATCTTGGAGAGAGCGTGCTAGGGCGATGGATGCACTCAGGTAGCTTCACACCATGAAACACAACATGCTTACATTGCAGACTGTGGCCGCAGCTCGTTGATGTGCCGCAGAGCTGCGAAGATGGACTGGGGCCTCAGCTGGGTACCGATACTGCCTTGCAAGCGCTGCACCGTAAGATTAATCAAGTCCCTAAGCATCCCACGTGCCGATGACTTTGCCTTACAAAGAATGCCGGTGTGATCCGAGCGTCTGCTTCGTTAAAGGCGGCTCCAAAACAGCCATATGCATCAGTGCATCCTACAAGCCCATTGCATCTTCACAAATGGATCGCCACAAAATCTATACTTGAAGCCCTTCTCGTAATGAAGCTTTGCCAGCGCAGCCCCCTCAACTCTCTGTCAGCGGGTGCTACTCCTGCCTGCACGATGTCCCAAAACGCTGTCATTCTCCACAAACACCTGCAATGCTTTTGGCGAGATTTTCACAACCTTGTACGGGCCCAGGCATTTTGATTCTTGGTTGCAGGACGGGATACCAAGTGTAGCTTTTCTCAGCCTACCTGACTCCACACTCATGCTTTTTCCACCCTACGCTCTTCTCATGCCAGCCATCGAAACTATGTTTCGTGGCCTTGGCTCCCGAATCTTGGCGGATGAACTTGATGTTCTTTCCCTGTGCACCAACCTGAATGCTGACGCAAATTGACAAAGGGAACACGATGCGCATTAAGTGCCATCACACTCAGGCAAACACATGTCCCTTGTTCAATCTTCTAATAGAAATAGAAGTGCTACTGACACTGCTGCCAATACGGGTGCTGCTGCTCCTATTCCTACTACGCCTTCTACTGATGTTACACATTCTACACCTTCTACTCCTTCTACTCGTTCTACTACTACTACTACTACTACTACTACTATATCAAAAGACAATTGTTACTGGTCGGCTGTCGTCAACGAAAGTGTTGCTAGTAGCTGCCCGTCGTCGTAATGGTGAAGCTAAAAATAACATTGGTAGAAGTAGTAGTAGCAGTAGTAGTAGTAGCAGTAGTAGTAGTAGTAGTAGTAGTAGTACAGCAGCAGTAAAAGTAGCAACTGCAGAAGCTGTAGCACCACGAACTGCAATAATACTCGTCGTGGGTATCGTGATGATTCTGTCGTCGTGGTAGTAGTAGCCGTTTTGTGGTATGAGTAGCGACAATATTAGTACTAGCTGTACTGTTGTTTTTTTGTTGTCTTCGAAATGGTCGCAATCGCAATACCCGTAGTCGTAGCAATAAAGGTCACTAGCTGCCGCAATCGCAAAATGGTGATGAAATCCCGATAACCTTCCGGCAGCGCTCGTTGTGCAACTGCCGTAAAAAAGGAATGCTGAACTAGTCGGACTTGGTCTTCAATGCTGTCTTCTTTTCCGATTCGCGATCCATGTGAACTTGCCGTTTGTATGCACTGCGTATTGAAATCTCAGACGGCGCGAATGTTGCATGTCAGCATGTTCATTCCGTTCGAATCGGGTCACTGTGAAATTGCAGCATCATTCCGCGCTCCCGGTTTCCAAATGGCTGGAAACATGAAAGGCTGCTTTACTTCAACCCGGCGTGTAGTTAGCACCAGCATCCGAACAATAGTAACACGTGTTACTGATGATGGTAATTGTCTGACCAATGGCGATGGAGCCCGCTAGCTTCTTGTGGTGACATTTTCAACCTTCTGCTACATTTCGTACTGTATTCTGGTGATGACGACCATCACCCGGAAAACAACATGGTGAAGATGATCATCATGGTTGCCCAATTTTTGCGGCGATTTGATTGATATGACGATGTGGTCATAGCCAATGTGCACGCATTGTCCGTCACTTTGGACGTACTTGCAACGATCTCGCTGACGTAACATGATGGTACTGACGATTGTTGAAGATGATGATGGGCCGAGTAAACACCGAAAGGGGCCAGTGTCAAACTTTTGGCACCGCTTGCAAGCGTGGTTTTAGAAACAATAAGGGCGGGCGCTTGCAATTTTTTCAACATTCCGGCCATAGCAAAGTCTGCGTGAGACCAGCGGCAATATTGAAGTTGACATGAACGGGGAACCTTGTGTTTTACATGAAGCCCTCATGTCCAACACAACACCATGTCAGATGGACAACCCCGAGGCCCCGACATTTTGCAAGATGCAGCATGTCACAGCAGCACATATTCACAAACGGCCCCCAAGTAAGCAAGCGATGACACACCAAAGCCAGGTGACGATGTAAAGGAAAAGAAGAGCTTCTGAAAATTCCACACAGCCGATAAAATAAATGCGATTACACTATAGGGCTATCCGTGGACTTCTGGTCGGAGGCATGAATTCCAATCGGAAAAGCCATAACATCAAGCGACTCATGCAATGTCAAAGAAGAACACCACTACAGCCAGCCCCCATGTAGGCAAGCAGTGCCACTCCAAAGCCAGGTAACGAAATAACAATGTAAAGGTCAAGAGAGGGTATATAACGGTATATGCAAATTCCGAACATGTCCGATGACATGACCGCGACTACACTATCCGTGGAGTTCTGGTCGGAGGCTTAAATTCCAGTCGGCAAAGCAGTAGTCAAGCGACTGATGCAATAGCATTGCCAGGCGAGCACATGCGCTTTGGTGCCCCCGCTCAAAACATAGAACCTAAACTGCGCGGCTTGTGAAGCTTTCGCTACCAAGGCCGCCCTGCCTGCGAGCTTTCGTCTTTCATCCGAACCTTCGCCGTCGTGTCGCAAAAAATCTGAAAACTTTTGCAAGGCCACTCTGGGAGCATGGTCGAGCTGCTTAAAAGCCCGGCACTCAAAGCCCTCGAAACGAGTTTATTCGGCGCATTTGATCGGCTAAACATGCGGAAAGCCTCTGAAGACCACGGCGGGATCTTCCCACATATCTGAATCAAAACCTTTCGCAGGGAGCTTGTCCGAGCTGTTTGCCCTTTCGAGAGAACCCACTTGAGGCAACCTTGTTCGACCTCTTTCGATTTGGTGGAGGCCGAGGGAACAAGTCACTGTCGCACGGTTCGTTGGACCCGTTTGAAGCGCACCTCCCCTGCTCCAGCTCATCCCCGTTGCTTTGGCTTTGAAAGTCCGATGACATTCCTGCAGCGGCTTCCTCGCTTCGTGGTACATGCCCTTCAGCAACAACGGCCCAAGCCCCAAGACCAACAACAACCGACCAAGCCACACCCACACTCAGCCCCTTGCCTCCTTCGCCAGGCTACAGCCACCTGCACAGCCGCGACGTTGAGCGCCGAGCAGAACGGAAACCCTTGGCAACCCTGACTCCGGCTCAGGCTGCTTGACCCACTGTTCGCAGCGAGGCCTCTCCACGAAGCATAGCGTTGCCAAGCCACTGCTACATCACAAGCACAAAAACTGGGTTCTGGACATGTCCAACTGCTCATACTGCTCCTCGTCGATGCAACACACAAGAAGTTAGCGCATTGAACAGAAAATGCACAAAAGCAGGACGCCTTCGCCACGAGAAAAAACTCCAGCGGCAGGACCTTTGACACAAAGCAAAGGCCTAATAGGGCGCACCCTTGCCCAATCATCTGGACCGAAAGCCCCAGAAAGCCTGAAGCACCGCGACGACATTTCCCACATCACACATGCAGCGGGGTCGCACCAAGCTGTTGTCCTTAACAGCACAATCAACCCAACTACTAACTACCCCTACGACACGTAACATGGGCCTGCACTGGCTCAGGAGAACGGATTCTTCGTTGCCAATGATTGTTGCCACCAGCCAACGACCAATCGCATTTCGCAAGCAGTGGTTGCAGAGCACGCGCCCAAAGTTTATACTCATCTTCAACTTGGACACTCGTGGAGGCAAATGACGGATGTCGCCGCGACCGAAGAAGTGCTGCAGGACAGTTTTTCACCGACGCGTCCGGGCTCCATGCGCAAGTCCATCACTGCCCGGGCAAGGCGGGCTCTGCCCGCAGTCGCGGAAGCAAACACCACCCCTAGTGAAACATAAACCAGATCGCAAGCGTAGAAGTACACGCGCGGAATGCCACTGCTAGCTCGCTCAACCGCGCTGGCTTTCGCCCGCAGGTTCCAGCTCTGGGACAGAGCTTTCTACAGTTTCCACATCCACCAGCTGCGTCGGCAAGACACCGGGCAAGGAAGGGGAAGAAGAAAACATGGCCTCATGCTCCGCTTTGGGGTTCAACATCAACAATGTGCAAGGCATCGCCTCGACGAGAGCTGCGCTCGGAAACACAGCGCTCAGCAAAACATCTTTAATGGTGCCTGGCGGGACAAGTGCCTGCAAGGAGCGCCACTTCTCAAACAAAAACTTTGGATACACATGTTGCAAACGGCCATGACAGCCACGCGAAACCGGGCTTCGGAGCGATAACGAAAGGTCAGCATGCCTGAAAAGACCTGGCCGAAGCAAATGTAATTGGCGTACGGAGAAGCTGCAAGTGGCAAACGCGGCCGAAGAATGCTCGGAGTTGGGGGCGCGGAACAAGTTTTGGGTTGAGGTTTCAATCTTTCACAGCTTGGGACTTGGGACTCAAGGTTGCAAACGGGGTTCGGGGCTTGTGTGTGATGCTGCGACGTTATCAGTCCTGCCGAAACCCCACAACAGCGGAAAGCCCTGAAGCCGTTATGCCTCACGTTAGCCAAAGCAAGATGAACAAAGGAACCTCAAGAGGCTACCGAGAGGCCGCAATCCCACCCCAGCCAGCACCCAGCACCCGCCACCTGGACCTACCCTCCACCCTCCACCCATCTAATCCTTGTAGCTATCTACCTTTCTATGTCCCTATCTCCCTATCAAACCATTCATGCTCGCTATATAAAGGCCAGAAGCTTTCATCATGCCAGTGAAAGCCGGCATTGTGCAATCCTGCACTTGATCAAGTACTGACACCTGACCAAAGTTGGGACCGGCCTGGCAAATCCTGCTGACAAACACGCACATGTTTCATGTACATAGCTGGGGGATGTATTAGGCTCCACAAACCGGGTTGTGTCCTCTTGCTCGAACAACACGATGTCGCATTTCATGCTCAAAACAGAAACAGCAGTCATTTCAGCACTTCACAGACATTTTTGGCAACTTCAGTAAGGAAAGGCACCCTCAGTACAGGATCCGAGCTTTCCGCCATGCATACTCGACCAGTTTTCCTGTCAAACAAAAACGCAGCTCTCTTCGGCTCTCTGGCTGCGGCGCTGCCATGGAACCCCCGACGTGGCCTTTTCGAAAGTTCAACTCAGAAACCTTTTTGCCAGAGCGGAGTTGCACCTGCAGAGAAAGCCCTCTCACGCCCCTGGCTCTCACTCTCTCTACCTGCCACCGCTCTGGCGATCCTCTTCAATGTCAGTGGCCCGAGCCTTGGACACTGTCACACACGAAAGCAGCCCTCCGAAGCACCATGTCTAAGGCATGGAAGTGCTGACACGAGCATCTAGGCACAGACAAGTCCAGAATTAAGGACGCATAGTCCCGGCAACGAGTTCTTTGCTGGGGGTACTGCCCAAACGACCTGCTTCGTTGGCGGAGATCCCTGCCACGATTTTTCAACCCGACAGGAATGACATCCCGGCGCCTGTGCCGGGTTCCAACAACCGCAGCCACGTTCGAGGCAGCAACGACAAAGACAGCCACAGAACCAACTGAACCGAGACTGCGACCTCAGCCGGCAGCGCATTCGCCTGCTGGCCAGTCAGAGCCTGCAAAATACAACTGCATCCGCATCAACAAGAAAAACAGTGCAACCTTGACCCCGTCGCCCACGGCCTTCGTGCCAGTCGTTTGCCCGTCCGACACGATGACAACAACCACTACAGTACCGAGCCCGCGATCCCGCCACCGCCACCAGCGACAACAGCCTCAACGACAACGAAGGCCACAGAGTCAACTTAACCGACGCGGCGACCCCATCCTTCACCAAGCGCAACCTCATAACCGGAACAACAAAAACAAAAGCGAGGCCGCGGCGTCGCACAGGTCCCCCAGCCTCTGTCGGTTGGCCTTGCGCAAGAAAGCCGGAAGCAAAAGCATCACAGAGACAAAGAACGGAAGTTTCCAGCCTTTCGCCCCTTTATGGTGGCTCGGCAAGGATCACGCACTCGCATGCCCGCGCACTGGACTCCTCGCCGCGCGGGCCAAGTTCGTGGACGAGGCGCGGGTTTCCCGGGAAGCGGCGGGGTCCGACGGCCAGGTCGTTCCACAGAGGTGGCTGGCCCGCACCACCGCCCCGAATGTTGGCGCGCAGCCGCCGGCTGGACCTTGCCGTGTATGGGGCGCTCAGCCGCGGCGCGTGTGCTGCAGCTGTCGACGGAGCCGCACTGCGATGCTGAGCGCCGCAAAGCAAGCATGCTGCATACCCGGAGCTCACGCGAGCCGCAGACGCACGTCGTGCTCGTCCACCTTGCAGCAACAAAACACGTACATACACATAAGCAACAACAAGAGCAGCAGCAACAACAAAGCACCACCAACAACAACAACAACAACGACATCAACGAAAACAGCAGCAACAACACCAACAGAAAGAGCAACAGCAAAAGCAACAGCAATTGCAACAGCATCGACAACAGCAGCAGCAACAGCAACAGCAGCAACAACAGCAGCGACGACAACAACAGCAACGACGACAACAATAGCAGCAGCAGCACCAGCAGGAACAACAACAACAACAAGGTACAAACAAAAACTGCAGCCCCGTCAACCCATATATCTGCTTTTTGTCTGTACATTAGGTAGAGACAAAAACAGGAGCCCCGTCATGTTGTTTTACCCCCCCCCCCAACAACAACAACAACAACAACAACAGAGTGCCTGTGGATGCCTGTGATGTATACTGTTTGGTGTGTATTTTCAATGGATTTCGTCTGTACTTCAGTGGATTTGGTGTGTATTTCAATGGATTTCGTGTGTATTTCAGTGGATTTCGTGCGTATTTCAGTGCATTTCATGTGTATTTCGCTGGATTTGGTGTGTATTTCAGTGGATTTGGTGTGTATTTCAGTGCATTTGGTGTGTCTTTCAATGATTTTGGTGTGTATTTTCAATGGATTTGGTGTGTATTTCAGGTCCCCGCCGTGCAGAATATGCATTTGCGAGGCCTGTACAAACTACTGTATAGTGACTGGTAACTATAGTTTTGAGTGTACGGGTATCCAATGCAAACCCCTCAAAATTCCAGACAAGCCATTCCAACACCCATCAGAACCCCTTCTGGATATCGCAGATTCTATACCTGTGGTGGAAATGTGGTGTAATGTGGGCGGTTGTTGTAAAGGGGGGACAACAGACGGGGCTCCAGTTTTTGCCTCTACTACAGGAGGTAGAGACAAAGTCCTGATTTCGCTGGTGCCTTTGTCTCTACCCCTGTAGTAGAGGCAAAAACTGGAGCCCCGTCTGTTGTTTTGACCCCCCCCTTTTACAACAACCACCCAGCCTACACCGCAATTCTATCATGGGGCAGGCATGGCTTGAACTTCCCAAAACTCTACAGGCACCCTATGCGGTCGCCGGAAGCATTCCCAATTGCTTCTAATTAACAACAAGTACGGGCTGCTGTTTTTGTCTGTACCAACAACAACAACAGCAGCAGCAGCAGGAATAGCAACACCAACACCACCAACAACAGCAACAACAACAACAACAGCTACTACTACTACTACTACTACTACTACTACTACTACTACTATTACAAGAAGAAGAATGACAACATTTAGCCAACAACCAGCCAAACACGACAGCTGACACAACCGAGGCCCAGACACCATGGCATTTTGGGAAATCCAAGCAAGCTGACACAACTGGCAAGGCAACAAGCAAGCAAAAAACACAAGAAGCCAAGCCCGGGACTCAGCACGGTGTTCAACAGCCAGGAAATAGCCCTTAGGACGTGAACCTGTTAGTAACAACAACAATCAGCAAAGAAAGAAAGCCGAGGCATCCATGCACATGATAGAGCTAAGTCCCACGCAGTTTCCGCCCCCCCCCCCCCGCCCCACCCGGCATGACGTTAACGACCACGCCGTCGCCCTCACGACACAAACTCAGATGCAAGGAAAGCAAAGAGACAAGCAGACAGGCACACAGCGGATTCAATGATGTCTGCCTCTGGCCTTGCACACCAAAGGCACCCAATAGATCCGGCAAGCCAATCACAACACCGGAACCCAACAGTAAACAAAACAGAAAGGCAAACACCCAACACGCACCACCGCGAAAACGTCAACCAGCACATAAAACATCATAAAACTAAGCATCGAGCTTGCGCTTCTGATCCCAGCATTCCCAGTGGAGCCCGGAGCAACCACTCACCCAGTCAAACCTCGAGCTGAGACACGAGCTGCTTGTGGAAGTAGCACTTTCGGCAAAGACTCCGGTGACGTGCCCGCTACCAGATCCGAAACAGCTTCCTCACATTCATAACCCAAGTATGCATGTATATGTGTATGTGTATGTGCTGGCTACATGCTACACAGCCACAGTGCCCAGCATATTCAGCATCGCGCCATCAGCATCATCATCAACAGCTGCATTATCAGCATGATCAAGTAAGAGTACTTGCAGACTTTTCGCAAACCAGGCCAAAACCACACGAACAGGAAATGAATGAAACAGAACGTCAGATTTTGACACCATCTGAAGAATGAAAGAGCAGAAGTCGTCGAGTGGTGGTGCTGGTACTGGTAGCTAAAGTACTACTAGTCGTCGTCGTGGTCGTGGTGGTCGTCGTGGGAGCAGCAGTAGCAGTGACAGTAGTGGCAGTAGTGGCAGTAGCAGCAGTAGTAGCAGTAGCAGCAGTGGTGGTCGTAGTAGTAGTAGGAGGAGTAGCAGTAGCAGTAGCAGTACTAGTACTAGTAGTAGTATAAGTAGTAGTAGCAGCAGCAGCAGTAGTAGTGGTAGTAGTAGCAGTAGCAGTAGCAGTAGCTGATGTTGTTGTTGTTGCTGCAGCAGTCGACGTCGTCGAAATAGCTGACAGTTGGACTACGGGCATGTGACAAAAAGTGAATGCTTTTTCAGCTTGTAGCGTTTGCGAAGCCGCGGCACCAAAGCCCAGCAAAAATGACATTCGGAATGGTTGAGGCGGGGACTACTTGACTCTGCATCCGTCTGGTCAGGACGAACCTCGCTGCAGCACGCTGAACAGCACACGTACATTTAATGAGACGAGCTGTGGATGCAGCCGGAGGATGTACCTGGGCACAAGCACGTCTAGGTTCAACTTCGCGAACGCCGTGCTCAGTCTGTGGAGCACTCGCCCGGCTCTTTCCCACACAGCTCTGTCTGACCTGCAGGCCTGAGCTTTCAAAGGCTCACTTCCCTAGCACTCACTCACAGGGCAATTCAGCATGCAGTTTTCCGGGATGCTAGCTGCGTTTTCCTTTCTTCATCGCCGTGCTGTATGAGCTGCGACAAGATGCAGTTGAACCTCTGGCGACTCTTCATGTCAAATCGCTGAGCTCTCACGACGATACCTAAGTTCTCGAGGCTCCCGCACGGCAAGTATAGACCCGGGATCATCTGAGTAGATGCCCAACACCTTGGCATTTGAATTCCTTATGCTGCCGGACACCTGACATCACCTTCTGCTGATCTGCCGCTGCGACATCTGCACTTCACTTGAGAGTGCTGCTCTGTACCGTGTGTCCGGGAAGTAGTCGTTTCTGTTGCTGAAGACAAGCCTTGCGCCGGTCTCCTGCATAGACGGATCGGCAGCCAGCGTGCGAGACAATCCCAGCTGCTGTATCCCCTTATGCATCAGGAAGCTTGGTCCTTTTGTATCTCATCTTTGGTCGAGCCGTGAGAGCCTGGTCGATCAATACGCGAAAACACGCCACTCTTCTAGCAGAGCTGAGCTTCGAGGGAGGTGGGGGTTGAAATAATCACTTTTGGGATCTGTTGCAGTGCGAAGGCAAGGAGCAAGAACCTGATGACAGGTACAACTGCCACGGGAATGCTTGAACAAGTCCCGCCTAACAATCCGGCCGCCAAGCCATCGGTGACAAGAACCTGCCACGGAGTGCCGCAAGATGCTGCGCGATCCCTTTGATACAACTTTGCTCTGATCTTGGCTTCAGCCACGGGCCAATGCTGTTCTTAAGAATCTGTCGTGCCTTAGCTCGGAGCTCCTGGCAAAGTGCTTGTAACATTTCATTTTGAGGTTGCGTTCTGGGCTGCTGCAGGGGCAGGGGCCGAGGGGCCGGGAGGTGAAGGCCCATACATTTCGGGCTGCCCTGCCTGTTTTAGATCTGCTACAACATCCAAGGTGCTGGTACAGATTGGTAACAGGACTCACGAAGGACTTCGCCCGGCTTGAAGCCTTGTGCCCTTGTCGGAGATCTCCTTTTTTTAGAGTAAATGGGGCAACAGTCATTTCAGCTCCAGGGTTACAGTACTTCGAGACTTGCAGCGTGCCTTGAAGGCGTGCCTCGTTCGAGGGATGTTCCCCAGGCCCGACTCCGGGCGGCTGTGACCGCTGGCATTTAAACCTCGCGCAGTTCGTGTATTAAGCCTAACTAACATCACTGGAGCCTAGTGCTGTTCAAAGGAAGCTATGACTCCACTCGGAGCACGAATCTGGCATTAGCAAGAAACTTTCCAGGAACTAAAGGTGCCCGTGCCGAGCCGGCTGCGCTTTGACGGTGGCTCTCCGATTATCTGCGTTTCGCCGTCGCGCCCTCGGCTCGGCAGAGACTAAGTGCAGTCGCAGCCGAAACTGAGGCTCTGGGGCTTTAGCCATGGTTGCGCTTCATGCTGCATCAAGCTAGTTTGCGCATATCATCATGCTACTGCTGCCGCTGTTGTTCTTTTGCGGAAAGTGTCAACGAGCTCTGATGCAAACATTTCCATATGGTACGGTACATGCAGCCAGTGGGGTATGCCGCTCGAAATGCCTCCTCCACGACTGCTGACATGAAAGCCTGGGGTGAGCGGATGCAGTCGTTGCGAAAGCTCGGAAATGACAAATCGAAATTCCCGCTATCAGAGTCATAGTCACCCCAATGGGTGCGAGTGAAACGAGTTTTACATGCGAGTGACACGAGATGTCGAAACCTATCGAAACACTGCTTGAAGGTGAAACGTCTGAGGCTGGCAGCTCTCATGTTCAGAGAGTCCAGGCTCTAAGACCACTCATCAGTAATACCTGTGCCTGATCATGCCTGGTACTATAGCGAACGAACAGTAAGTCTAGAGTCACACGATTAGCTTTGTGACACGAATGACAATATCCTTCAAGCTTCTAGCGACTCTAGCGAGTCCGTGAACCCTCTCTGCTGCCGTGCCCTAGGAACCCGAGGTCGCAGAAGCTTCGAAGTGGTCACTGCCTTCGGCAGTGCCTAAAGCAAGGAGCGCTCTCTTGCTGAAGACCGGAGATTGAGATTCATTGAGAGTCCCAATCATGTCCTATGAATCCGAGGTCATTGGCGGAAGATTCTTCTTGGTGACGGTGTAAACCATGTGCCGCGTCCTGGTTTCCCCGCACGATGCAAGCACGGCCCTCCCGCGCTGCAATATACTTCCGCATGAACTGATACTTCCGAAGTTTTCAAAACTCCCAAAACTCCCGTGACCGTGCCACGCTCTCGACTCTGGGGTTCACACGCCGACGGACACAAGTTGACGAACGTGCACCGAATAGCTTTGGCAGCCTCTGCAGCTTTTCTGGCACTTGAGATTGCATCTGCAAGTTCTCACCACTGTGTGCACAGGCCTGTTCTGCCAAGTGCTTTCTCATGCTCTCGTAGTTCCCCTGTCTCTGCATCAACTCTTTGCCTTGACTCGAAGGACGAAACCGTCGAAGTTGCACGTTTAGCTCGCCGACCTTCATGCTCTGCAACATCCGAGGTCGACACCGACATGGGTCTTCTTCAGGTCCAGAGCCATGCCTTTAACAGTTGATATGAGTAAGGCTTGATCTTTGGATGCGTCCGCTTTCCTTAATCCTTTAAAGCTCAGCCGAGAGACTTCGCATCTTGCTGGGAAGCTTGCTCATAAACACCTGACGGGACAGCATGTGCACACTTCTTGTGCCGCTTGCGGCACGAGCGACCTCGATGCCATCATCGTTGATGTCCTCGTTGCCAGCCAGGTTCAAGGAGAGGTCCTTCCAGGAGGACATGGACCATCGACGGCTCAATCAGACAGCAAGACTTTCAGTTGTCAAAGTGTGCGGGTGCCTTCGTGAAAGTCTTTCGCTGCTGAGACATGTAGACTTTCATAACAGGGGCACAAGGTGGGTGGCACGCTGCCTCCAGTTCTCTGGGGAGACCGGCGGCGAAGGTGATGATGTCTTGGTTGTTGAGCTCTGTTTCCCTGCACCGGCAGCGCAGATCAGCGCAGGAGTTTCAGAGGTGAGGAGAGTGAGGGAGCCCGAGAGCGTGAGGCTCCGGGCCCTGCCTCAGGTCCAGCTTGAGCTCTTGCAGGCCCGATGGCAAACATGCTCGGAGCATCTTCAACTTCTCCGAGCAAACTGCCAGAACTCATGGCTTCATGATGCTTCATGCTCCCTGCTTGCGAGCAAAAGCATCTTGAAGATCATGGCCTTGCATGAAGGCCATGTCAAGCTCCAGGGACTTGTGCCGGAAGCCGCTGTGCAAGGCTTTCACCTCTGCTTGTGCTCATTATACTTACTATATATATATATATATACCGCTATAGATCGTATTATATCTTATATAGCTGTGTTTTAGTCGGGTCGCTTATTTTATATACAGGACACCTAAAAACCATTCCTGCTCATGGCATCTTTGCAACCTATCCTTGTGGAGTCAACAGTTCGTGTTGTTGATAGTTGGATGTGCTGCAGGTCCAGGTACTTCCGTGAGGGAAAAGCTCAGAGCATGGCCAACTTTCCTTGAACTCGATGAACGTCACTGTCGCTCACGTTGCCACCCATGACACGACCTGTGCCAAAGGCCGGCTCCAGCTGGGCCCAAACCCCGACCACTGAGCTGCTGGCGCCAGAAGGCCAAAGCGAAGAGCGCCCGCAGTTGCTTCGAGACGTGGTCATACGCCTCATGCCTTGGCATCACGCACACGGCCGCCACGGTCCTTGGCCCGGACCTTCTTGAGCAAAACGTCGTCTAGGCTCACTGCTTTTCTGCAGCCTGCAAAATCCAACACTTCAGCACATTATAGGGCCGCTGGCTGCCCAGGCCTGCTCGTTCAGGTCACGGTGTGCGAAGATGTTCAATATCTGCTGCTTTTCCTGAAGATTGGTGATCTGAGCACGCTCCACGGAGACCTCGGGCAGCGTGGTCAGATGGTCACGTGTGGCTTGCTGAGACACTGAGTATGTGTTGGACGTACGGGACTTGGAAACACACACCTAATGCCATCTCCATGATCTGCAAGCTGAATGACTTCTCGCGGTCGTTCTTAGCCTTCCGGTCTTGACGTAGGAATTGCGGTGGCGGGAAGAGAGATGCGTTTCTGCAGAAGCAAGTTTGCCTTGTAGCCGGAGCCTGTCGTGCGCAGTTCTGCGTCTTTCTCCTCTGGAGTCAGGAACTGTGTTACCTTAGTAGGCAGAGCTGCGGGCATCAGACGTATCATGTCTCTGCATGTGAGCTTTGTGGTCTCCACCGGGGCCGGGGCCATCGAGGCTTTCTTAACAGGCGATTTGATTTCCAGCTTGGTCTGGACTACATCGAGCTGCGTGCCGGGATGGTCCAAGCCTGAGCTTCGAAGCTCGTGGAATTCATAGGCAGCTCTTCGGTTCTCGGTGTCAGGCACATGCAGAGCTCGTACATGCACCTCGAGACGTCGAGACACTCCGAGACCAGTCTGGCCTTTTCCTTGCTCCCCCGAGCGAAGCCAAGGCACCACAGTCTCGAAAGGCATGTGGCGAGCACGTTGGAATCGGTTTTGGGATCCTGCCCACTCAAGCTGAAGCTTCTCTGTCGAGTCTACTTTAGCAGGCTGCTTCACATCGGCAAAGCCATCGGAGAGAGGATTGATGTCAGGCCCCAGCCATCATAAGCACCACCTGGAACTTTGCGGCACTCATTGCCTCCAGGGCTCAAACTCATTCTTGGGAGCTTCGGAGCAGTCTTCAGGATCTTCAGGGCACCGGCCTTGTAAAAACAGCTGGCCTTCAAATCCGGGCAGAAAGCGTCCTGAGGACGGAATCAGGACTGGCGAGATGCAAGAACCCCACATGTCATGCAAAAACTTCTCATTCCCTTAATAGCTCTCCTGCAGCGAGTGTGGGCGGTTGGCGCAACACGCGAGCCAGTACGGCGTGTTCTGGTCCATGTTTCTGCTTTGCGTGTGCACTTTGATGGCCTCCAAAGCATTCAGGACCTTGACAAAGGCATCTCGGGTCAGCCCACGAACTGATTCGAGTCTTGGTGTCTGACGAGATCCCCCCAGTAGTGCACCAGGTAGAACGCAGGAGGCTGCAAGGGAGGTCAGCTGGTGCAACACAAAGGGCACAGGCGGCACAGGGGCAGGCCCAGCAGGCAGCCTGCTCCTGGTTTGTCAAGAGCTCTACCAGCGAGCAGTCCTTCTCCGCACATGCCGGACCTGAGTTTTTGTCAAGTCCGAGTCTCTTTGAGTCTGCACAGGTCTGCACCAGTCTAGGCGGCTTCTTGGGAAGATATGGAATCCAAGGATGCCGCGCACGAGCCACTCATGCAAGTGACACCTGGCTCGTGAAGTTGATAAGCATTGCATAAGACGGGGAAGCAGTAAGGCGAGAACCAGTTCATATGGTCGATGTGAACCTTGCGGCCTGGTTGCAGCATGTCGATAACAAGGTCTGCAGCACATGTTGTCAGGTTTTTGTCACGAGGGCTGCCTGCATTGCGTGACATGTGTGATGGCTGCGTGTCTCGCCACCGGTGGCAATGATCCTCCGTCAGGGCGGTGATCAAATATCCAGGTCGTCAGCTGCTCGCGCCACTTGCATGCGGTTGGACGGCAGGCATCCCTTTTCGCAGTGCGTGGCATGACCACTGTACAGTCGGCATTGAATCTGCATGCTCAAAAGCCGTAGTCAGAATGCTCCACCGTGCCTTGTAAACCTCGGACTCAGATTCTGGATGCAGCTCCGAAAGGAGGCGGAGCGTGTAACTAAATTCGACTACGCTGCGCATGCTGCGCTCGGGTGGTCTGAGGCTCCCAGGCCCCACTTAGCCAACCAGCCCTCGACACTCAAGCTGGCGTGCTCGCGAGTGCTGTCACGGGCATTGTCGTAGTAGCGAGTATCTGCGCCGCCTGAGCGAACGTGAGCCAAGGTCAGCTCGGCGATCCACTGGCGCAGGGCATCATCGGGATTTGGATCGACCATCAAAGCTCGGATGGAGAAGAGGCATTTTTGGACCGACAGCGATGGACTCCACGATTCCTTGAGGATGTCTAGGCCTTGGGAAGAGGCGGAGAAGATTGATGAACACGGCAGCACCTTCTCTCAACATCTCTCAACCCAAAGCCAGACCTCAATGTGCCTATCGATGTGCTGTTTCGACAAGGTGCATATTGCGCCGTTTGCATTGACATTGCAGTGGTAGATGGGCGTGCGGAAGTTAATCTTGGGCGCGGAGAAAGGATAGTCATCCGGGATGACAACATCTAGCGCAAAAACACCTCCCTCGAACGGGGAGCCAAAGGGCCCCTCCATGAGGACACGCCAGAAGTTGAGGCTTTCCTGGTTGGTAGCTGAAACAGCACAGTTTGATACCTATATATTCAACACAGATAGTAACAGTCTATCTAAGACTCCTGGATTAGTGATTAGTGCAAGTGCTGCAAGGAGCTGTCGGCAGAACATGGATTCCGGCAGTGGCTGCTTCTGCAGCTTGCCTCAGCTCGGCCATGGCCCGTCTTGCAGCCGCCGAGCCCAGGGGGCCGTTCGAAATGGCACCGAGGGAGTCTGTCGAGTGCAAGGCCACCACCTTGCTTTTCGCATGGTGGTCCCGGGCCAAATCCTGAACTCTGGGCACGGCACTTCCCTGCGTGATGCTCGCTTGAGAAATGTTCCTCAAGTCCACGGCTTCTCGCTGCTTGAACTCCGGCTTTTCTGCCCCGCCACGGCGTGCCTTCAAAGAGACGACAGCTTCGGACTCCAGAAGCTCGAAGCCCTCGCCAAGATTGCGTACCTGGTAGCACTCGCCTTCTGCAGCAGAAACGATTCGCCGCAAATCGCCATCGGGATTGTCTCCCACGATGATCGCATCGACCACAGCACCGATGGAGTTGACGGCCTCAAGGGCCGCCTGTGGAGATGCTCCCGAATTGTTCTGCCCATCTGTGAGCACAAGAACACGCAGGTCAATCCTCTTGTCCGCTTCGAAGTATCGATTCAACATCTCCGTGGCTGCGATGATGGACGAATAGATGGCCGTCTGACCCCGCTTCTTCATGTCGTCGACAATGGACTCGAACTTGTCCAAGCTGGGTGTTGCATCCAACAGGAGCTCAACCTGGTTATCGAACTGAAAGAGGCCGAGGTGGCAGCGCCCAGGGCCCATGCTTTCAATCCTATCCCGGAAGGCATAAAACATGGCTTTAACGGCTTCCATGCGTGTGCGCTCTGCCACGGAATCTCGACACTCACCTTTCACGACGTTGAGAGTGATCTCCTTGAAGGGTGTCCCCATCGAACCAGACCGATCAATGCAAATGGCGATGACCTCTTGCACCGGCACTTCCTCTGCTGGGCTCGCCACCTGTTGGTCCGCCTCCGAGCCTTCTTCCTTGGAAGTTGCTTCGCTTTCTCTCTTTTTTTCTGAAGGTGAGGAGGAGGGGTTTCTCCCACCCCCCGCCCCGGCTCGCTCTGTCTCGCTCTCTCTGCATGTGTCGGTCACACATACGATACTAGGGAGATTGATGATACGCCTGTTGAGCCGATGGGGCACAGAGAGGCTTGAGAGCTGATTTTAAGTCCGCGAAAACAGTGACAGTGAGAAAGGGCATACTCGCCAGCACTTTCTGAAGTCGCCTGCGCCAGGGAGGGGAGGGCTACTTTACTGTCCAGCTCCGAGAAGTGGTTTGATACAGAGATCTGGCCATGTGTCGCAGGGGACAAACCTAGCAGACCTGGCACGCGGCCGGACGATCGGACAGACTGGTGCATTCGTGCTTCGCGAAAGCTTCAAGCACCTCGAACTGCTGGCTGTTTACTTGACTCTGGCTGTCTGACACGACCCTCGACACCAATATTGGTTATGTACGACAACCCTCTTCCACTCAACCAAATAAGCAGCACTCCCCACACGAGGTCTCTGTCTCGCTGCCTCTGCATCGCCGGTTCTAAGATTCTAAGACACTTGGCAAGTCTCTCGAGGCTCCACTGGAATGCTACATAGCTCGTACAGCGCCTGGCGGAACTTCTGTGCAGTCACCAACTTCATCCCAACCGACTCGATGATCTGCTCTACCATTGCTGCCTGTGCCAGGTGAGATTCTTCAGAACTGGAGCAGTGAAAAATGTGATCTCGGCAGATTCTAATTGCCAAGCGACATCCAGCAGCTTGAAGTCTTCCAGGCTTTCTGCATCTGTGAGCTCGATAACCTTCTCAACGTATTTGCCGAGGCCTTTGGCATTCAGCCAGCCTGCCACTGACTGGTCCTCGGCCGCAGCGTTCACAACCTCCCACTCTGCCATGGGCGAAGTTTCAAGCGAATTGAAGAGAAGGAGCTGCGCAGCGTGGTCTTCCTACTCCCGAGCCACAGCATAGCAAGGCATGCAGTGCTTCCATGTAAGCTTCTGCCACAAATTCTGACATCTTCTGACGAGTCGGCACAGGCTGCAGGCCGATGCCTTGCTAAAATCCACTACCCTCTGCAGCTGCTCCAAGGTGATGGCGCGATCCTACAGGGGTGGGTCCCGGCTTAAGAGGGCGCGTGGCAAAGTCAGCTGTCCCTAGGTCTCCTCTGATCGGTCGATGTAGCCCTGGAAAGTGAACTCCTGTCCGACAGGAGCGTGTTTGAAGCAACGCCTCCCCAGCTCCAAAAAGCATCTCCTGCTTGAGTTGCTCCAAGTGCTTCTCATCCGAGGTACTGGTGAACGGCAGCTTTGCGAGCCGCTCCACCTGAAACTTCACTCCGCACCGTCGAAAGCTGTGCTGCCATGAGCAGGCCTCCCGTCGTTCCTCCTCTTCCTCTTTTATCTTCTCCTCCATGAGGATCGCCCTGCGAAGCAAGGGCTCGAAGAAGGATGCTCGCTTCATCTCCCCCAAAAGGCCTGGCCTGTGGTCCGTAAAGAAGACCACTGTCACCGTCCTGCAGCTTCAGGCAAGCTGGGAAGCGGCGGACACCATCAGTTCGGAGAGACTGCAAAGAACCTCCACTGCCACATCGCATCCTGCAGCTTCTGCCACACCTCCCACGCTTCACCAGTGAAATCTGTGCCCTGGCAGTAAATGACGGTAAGCTGTCAGAGCCTCGGCTCCGGTGTTCATAATGACACCATCGATCATGTAGATCCGCCAACCGATCTGAACCTCGAGGCGGCCAGGAGCAATCGGACACAGCCGGAGCAACATTGAGCCGATTCCGGTCTCCTCGAATTGAAGCGATAACGGAGCTAACGATGGCGCCGGGACGGATTAAGCTTGGCCGGCAGGGGTCGCGGAAGCCGAAGCAAAACACCGCTCATACCAAGCTCAACAAGCAGAATGACTTTACTGCTGCTGCTGCTGCTGCTGCTTTGCAGTTGCTGTTGGTTTTGTTCACAAGCCGGCCCCATTGCGGAGGCCAGCGCATCTTGCAGCTGCACCGAGAGACCCAGAAGCGCCGTGCACCGAGCGACTCCACTAGTTTTCAAGCGAACTCTTTGCTGTGATTTGGTGTGTTCGACCATCTTTACCGGCCTTGCCTGTCCGTGATTTGCTCCAGACAAACGCTGGGATTGGACCGCACCGATGCTAAGCAATCGCGATGCGAGGTGTTCTGCGTGGACCGAGAACAGAAACGAAGAGCCACCTGTCTTCTGTGTGTGAAATAGACTAATCGAGTCCACGAAGACAGGAAATCATCATTTCCAAAACAAAGAATGGAAGGCGCACGAAGTCTTGGTTGTTCTTACTCTTGCTCTTGGTCTTAGTCTTGCCTTGATGACATCGTTGTTGTTACTGGTGCTGTGATTGGCGGTTGAGTTGCTAGTGGTAGATCTGGAACTGGTGGCCCGTTCAATCGTGTTTTGCAGCTTCTTCCGTTCCCTTCTTGCTGCTCTTCGTACTCGTAAGAATCATAAGCATTGTCACCGAAACACACCACATCTGTGGGCGAAGTCGTTTGACATGTCGGACGTGTCCCTTGACTGACGGGATGGATGCACCTACACGCAGATATTTTGCCACAGATACACCGAACCCCTGCAGAAATCAGCAGATTTGGTTCCGCTACTTCAATGCCTCGCACAGGGAGCTCCAAAACCTACGGAAACTTCGCAGGGAATTGCCACAATCCGTTGTGAAAACTTGAGAAGAACGTTTCGAGGAGGTCTGAAGTCTGAAGATCTCAGCTGAGACTGAGACCCCAAGGTCCTTCGCCTGGCCCTTGGCGCCGGTGACGATCAGATTCTGCCACTGGAGACCGTGGCCTCGGTCCCACAACTGCAGAGCGGCAGAGCGGCAACGGAGCAACGGGGCCTCCTTTGGCGAATCTGAACTCCAACTTCAGAAGCGTCTGGGGCTTGAGGCCAGCACCTCACAGAGCCAAGCTGAGCTAAGACAGCTTAGCTAGTGCTTTCGGAGAGATGGCCACTGCAGCTAGGGTGCTGAGCTCCTTTCGCGGAGTGACTAGGCGGCCGGCGGACCTGCACGATGATGGCCGGTCCGTCAAACACCAACGCCCAAGTTCCAACAATTTCCAACAGGGTACGGCCCAATTTAGGCCGCTTTCCTCCGAAGTTCACACGCATCTCAATATGCAGGGTGAACCGTTATATCCCTCTTAAGCAGAAACTTGTTTACGCGAATAGGTGGGCGACGACTTGGTGGAACCACGCGAGTGGGCTTCATGCGGCAGGTTTTGGTGGCCCCATAACTGTGGGGATTCCATTCCATTTCAGGCATGGGCACGCCAGCCAGCAGGAAAGAAATCAATCTAGACTCCCGCGGGCTGTTCTTAACCATACGTTTTTCGTGTCTCATGATCGTGTGGATGCAAAAGAGCTCCTAGGATTCTAGGCTTTGCGATTACAAGCTTGCGCAGCTACAAGCTGGCTACAAGATTGGAACTCGTTCCATCTATGCTCCGTGCATTCGCTAGCATAGCTCGACAAGAGACCATTGTCAGTTGCTAGTGGTGCACCGCCTGCCTCAAGTTGCACCGAAACGAAACCGGACGAACAACGAGTCTAAACGTGCCCATTATGCCCAAGCAAAGAGGCTCTCGGCTTTCTCCACAATGCCTGAGACAGTGAGGGACCATTTCATGAATATCCCAACCCAAGGTCTTGCCTAGCATTCAAACCAAACGACTGCACCCGACAGGAACGGAAGGTCACGTTGGGCCTCGGTCTCGTCAAAATATTGAGACCATTTAGTGAGGCTGCCTTCGACTGGCTGGTTCCGACCCTCGGATCAGCGCGCAATGTGCAATCTGCGACACAGGCACATGCTTGCATGATGCGCACCGGTTGCTTCTGGTGCTCGAGGCTTGGACAACGGGGGGTGGTTGCCTCCTAAGATCAAGGAGGCCGCCGAACGGGAAGCGCGCATCCTGAGGCGCGACAGCTCTGCGACTTGCAGCCTTGCAGGCTGTGGGATGCCGCTGGGCCAGGTCCTCGAAGTCTGCCGAGCGCTTTCCTCACCACCTTCGCTGTTCGCTTCTTTCGGCGTCAGGGCGTGCCGCAAGGCGCAGCTCTTCACCGAGTGCAGCGCATTGGGGGCAGCTTCCACAAACCCTGGACGTCCCTACGAGACTCCCTTTCACAGCCCAGCAGCTGCAGTCACATTGTATTCGCTCGATGTCGAAGCAAGAGAAGCTTGCACAGTCCAGCCAGTCCAGAAAGCAATCGAATGCCAAAGCCAGAATTTGCTTGCCTTACTCTTGCCCCACTGCCACTCCATGATACACTGCGGCAGAAAAGCGCCCAAGGAAGAGTCTTAGCCCTTTTTTGCCCATCCAAAGTTCGTGTCAAACAATGCGAAAGCGGAAGCGTGAAACAATGCGCTCAACAAGTCTGCGCAAACCATGATTCACGAACGGAGTATAACTTCCGTCTCAGGCAAGACTGCCTCGAGGAGGTTTGCACTCATGCGAAAACACGCTTGTGCACTGCAAGGGTTCGTCCAGCGTCAACAGCCGTACGGCCTTGATCGTCTGAGTTTGTGCAGCTTCACAAGACTGAACATTTACGCGATGGCTCGTGATGGACTTCCACGTGTGTCACCCACAGAAGCAATGCAACTGACAAGTTTGGGCTGTTAAAGCAGTGATGCCATCAGCATGGCTTCAAGCAACAACCAACCAAGAGCATCCCAACATCCTACTAGGAAATCCCCAGCCCACTGAGAAACCGCACTGGCGCTTAGCACCAGCCTGACAAATAGAAAACATCCAGGTCCGAGACCGGCGTATGCATCGCGCCCAGCAGCAATCAACACACTGAGAAGCATCTCTTTCTCCCGATGGGCCTACAACGGCCTTATCGGATTCTGAACGCAAACCAGAACTTCTTCGTTCCATGTTCAAAGCTAAGCTGCTGGGGTGTACGAAGTACGGAACTGCAAAGAGCTCCGGGTGCTCAGGACAAAAAATGCTCACAGTTTCCAAGGGCAACGCACGGTACACTTTAGCTCGCAGTCACCCCTTGGGATCCGCGGAATGACCGGACCTGACATTCGGCACTCAGACAAATTACACCAGGCTTTCGTGCCCGGCCTGGTCTGTGGGGACATAGTCCAAATCACTCCGACGGAGACGTCGGTGACTCAGAAGATTGGGTGGCTCCAGGCCCAATGCCTACAAGGGATATGCGATCACACGCGTATGCTGGGCCTTGTGATATCCCATCTTGCCTGAATCGTCAAGAGGCGCTGCCTCCTTTCGCCGGATGTCTCACTGGAAGGCGGCGGGGGCACCGGCAGCCCTTGGAGCGATCGGTGCAAGCTCGACTCAAAGGGATCCTTCGGTACAAAGCGATGCTGAGGTTTCATTCAAAGCGCTCAACAGAACCCAGTCCTGGCGGTAAGTGCTTCCCATTAGCCACTACAGCGAGCCTTTGGAGGCTCTGGATGTGCCCGCACTACGAAATGACCGCGATAAATGCAACTCTGCTCGAACCATCCGGCTGCAAGAGTTTGAAGCGGGTTCTGTCTCCCTCGGCTGCTGCTCTGCAACATCAGCTAGCAACGATGGCGATGCTTTCTTCGTTCATGTAGCCCGTGCGTGCCCCTGCCATGATGAATTAGTACAGTGCACAGACTGCTCGACGACCCATGTCCGTCTCAGACATCCGGAGCGGGCCGTTGGGGCGGCAGCGTAGTTGCATCAGGCACATATGCAGATCTCCTGTCAAACAAAAGCTTTCTGCGAGGCCTACGGCGACGGCCTACGACTGTTACCAGTTCTTGAAACGTTTAAACCTCAGCTGATTGTTCCTGAAATCTTACCACTCTAAAGCCTCATTTACCCGCAATACCCTTTGTGGGCCATACCACATAACATGAGCTTCCTTCGAATGCCCGAAAAGTACTGCCTCGACACATGTTGCTCGGCAACGACTGGCGGAGCATTCCTCCCGGTGTCTGCGGACCATGCCACGATGCGTTCCTCAATCATGGCATGCGCCTAACGGCTTAACGTCGAGGCGTGACTGCCGCATACTGCCGCAAGTGGTGGTTGTGGCTGTCCTGAGACCTCTTCTGCAGGTTTGCCAATACCTGCGACGGCAAATTGATGCTCTCCCGCAGACGGCTCTTACACGCTGCATAAGAATTCCTGTTGCTCTCAGAGGCTGGTGACCTGGATTTGCTGTGGGTCTAGAAAAAGCACTGATCCGATCTTATCAGAGCTTCATGTCGTCTGATGTCACATGCGCAAGCGGTCCTCACGCTGGCAAATCATTCGAGCACGCAATTCGGCATAGAACCCTGGCCATGTCAGCCCACTTGGAACACAAGGTCTTTGCTTGCTGGAACAGAGAAACAAAGAAGTCCGGAGCCTTCGGTGTTGAAGCGGCTGTCATCCGCATGTACTGTGAATGGCTGTAGCATAGCTGCATGTAAGGGACCTTCCTGTTATGTTGGCGCGGTGCGGTCGGCATGGTCGTCCATGCAAGCTAAACACTAGTCGAAGTGCAGAGGCTTCCATGAACTTTCTCGCTTGCGCATGAGCCATCAACAAGTCACTGTTGGCACAGTCCAGAGGAGCCTAAACATTCCGCACAAAGAAATTTTACAAAGCTGACAGGCTGGTGTCATGCAGAATTCAACACCTTGAAACGAAAAAACGTCCGTCTGCGTGCATTGCCCATCAGTTTCCGATTGAAACTCACAGCTGTTGACGTTCTTGACCGCACCACCTGTAGGTGCGCCGTGCCGTTCAAACGTGTTCAAATGTTTGTCAGCCAAGTGAATTCGTGTTGGGCACATTGGCCAACTTTCAACGTTGGTCGTTCTGGGAGATGCTGCCTACCGCGACCGATGTCTCCCGGACTTGGCATAATCGGCATAGTTATCTTCTCTTGAAGGGTCGCAGGAAAATGTGTAGTAGCACTCCAGCAGCACAGCAGCGGCAATGACATGGCACATTTCTCAAGGCAACACAGAACCCCGCCTCTGGATCTCGGATAACTGTTCCAACTCCACCCATTCTATTGCTGATCTTCTTTCGCCCATGTCTGCTGGCGCCCTGAGCCTCGGCCTTGTTCTTTGTTCTTTGGATCACCCCTTCCAAGCGTCTTTTGACCATCCGTCACCTTCATCACCTTCGGCTCCCACTCGCTGGCAGAAAGTCCTCGATCTGGCTGCTGAGAAGACCCAGCCCCGGTTGCCCTCGATTCGCAGGAAAACACCGTCTGTCACGGCACGCTCCCCGACCACGGTGACGCACTCACCTTCCCTGAGGAATCCTGCGATGGCTCTTCTCGCGTAGTCTGGGCCTTGCAAGCGAAACACCAGGCATCTTGGCTGAAGCCTGAGAGCCACTTTTCGCGACGTCAATGTGTCAGTGCAAACAGCTTGGCTTTGCAGGCCCAATCTGTGGTAAGCTTGTGGGAATTGCAAAGCATACGTTGACATAATTCTGGCCTGAAGGTGCGACCAGGTGGTTGAAACTAACTATGAGTGAAATAGCAATTGTCAAGTGCACCTGGCATGTTGGCGCAGTGAAGTCACAGTTGGCACAGTCCAGAGGAGCCTGAACATTCCGCACAAAGAAATTTTACAAAGCTGACAGGCTGGTGTCATGCAGAACTCAACACCTTGAAACATGAAAGCTTCCGGCTGCGTGCGTTGCCCATCAGTTTTGCGATTGAAACTCAGAGCTGCTGACGTTCTTGTCCGCACCACCTGTAGGTGTGCCGTGCCGTTCAAACGTGTTCAAATGTTCGTCAGCCAAATGAATTCGTGTTGGGCACATTGGCCAACCTGCAACTTTGAGTCGTTCTGGGAGATGCTGCCTACCACGACCGATGTCTTCCGGTCTTGGCATAGTCGGCATAGTTATCTTCTCTTGAAGGGTCGCAGGAAAATGTGTAGTAGCACTCCAGCAGCACAGCAGTGGCAATGACATGGCACATTTCGCAAGGCAACACAGAACCCCGCCTCTGGAGCCCTCATAACTGTTCCAACTCCACCCATTCTATTGCTGATCTTCTTTCGCCCATGTCTGCTGGCGCCCTGAGCCTCGGCCCTGTTCTTTGTTCTTTGGATCACCCCTTCCAAGCGTCTTTTGACCATCCGTCACCTTCATCACCTTCGGCTCCCACTCGCTGGCAGAAAGTCCTCGATCTGGCTGCTGAGAAGACCCAGCCCCGGTTGCCCTCGATTGGCAGGAAAACACCGTCTGTCACGGCACGCTCGTCGACCACGGTGAAGCACTCACCTTCCCTGAGGAATTTTGCGATGTCTCTTCTTGCTTAGTACGGGCCTTGGCGATTATCCATCCCCCCGGATCTAGTAGACTTCCATTTCGTTGCAGCCTTGGACATAGCTGTGACTGCGATGCTGTCTATTGTGCAGCAATGTGGGGGGGGGCCTCTGGGCAAGGCTTCTAGGCTTCCGCTGCTGTGCGCTGTGCAACCATGCCATACACTTCTTGGAGAGCTGCCCGCGCAAGCCGTCTCGCTTCATTGCCGTTCAGGCAGTTCAGGTGCTGTGGCTGCTTCTCCAGTTGCTTGGGTGTCTGGCTGAGCAACGGGAACCTTGCAAGTCTCGCGACTCTTGCGAGCGTTGTCCTTCAGATCATGCACCTCCTTCTTGAGGGATTGCACATCCAGCATCAGCTGCAACGGGTCGAACTGCATGCTCTGCGTAGCTTTATCTCGCGCTGCATCTTGGCGATCTCGCGGTTTTTGTCGTCTATGTCGGGATGACCTGATGCGGCCGAACTTTGAACCCGGCTGCGGTCGCACGGCAGAGCTTCAGAACGGACAAGAATCACCACTCTCCATGGTGACATGACAAGCCTTCAAGACTCACCTACAAGTAACAGAAAGGTACAGCGAAACACCACGAAACAGCGTCTTGGCTGAAGCCTGAGAGCCACTTTTCGCGATGTGTTTGTGCCCAGTGCAAACAGCTTGGCTTTGCAGGCCCAATCTGTGGTAAGCTTGCGGGAATTGCAAAGCATACGTTGGCACAATTCTGACCTGAAGGTATCTGAAGGTGCGACTAGGTGATTGCTCTCCACAATGTCTGTAACTGCCCGTGTCGAACAGCACATTCGACTGAGAAGGGCTGGCTGAAACTAACTATGAGTGAAACGGGAATTGTCAAGTGCACCTGGCATCCGCTGACGTGGCTTCTATGGGTTTGTAGTCTTGCAGATGTGTCAGCAGGCCATCCGGCCCTGTGACGAGGTTGTTGCGAAGGCTTTGCCTTCTGTAATTATGCAGCCGCCGTGGCAAAAAGGCTTCTTTGCTCGCTTTTGCATGTGGTGGATGCAACACTCCCAACATCTGAACTGAGAGCCACGAACACGACGGAGGAACTCGCTCTGGTCATCCTGTGTCGTCCTCATCCCACTCGCCTTCTGGCTCCGTCTCGCCATCCTCCTTCAGCTTACGTCAGAGCCATTTTTGCACACTTTACACCTGAAAAAATCGCGACCAGTAGAAGGTCCTTGTCGCTGTCCTCCTCATCTCCGTCCTCAAAGGCTGACTTTCGGGCAGACAGGTGTCAGAACGGCCACCACGCGGCTCCTCGTCCTCCTCCATGCTTCCTGCCTCGTCTTCTTCGTCCTCGCAGAAAAACTACTCCAAGTTTAAGGGTTGAGGACTTGGTGGTTGAATCGGCCCACCTCCCCCTCTTCCTCGTCCGTCTCCTCTTCGTCCTTGCCACGACTGTGTGCCAGAAAGCACAGATTATGTTAGACACGCAGGCTGTGGACCTGCCTCCTCCTGCGCATTTGGGTTGGCACCTCCGTGCAACGAAACTCGAAGACTAGTGACTAGTGAAGATCGCTCGAGCCGGCCTTGAGCAAGCGCTTCGCAAACGATGTCCAACTCTGGCTCGCGCTCTTCGGTGTGAGCCTGCGACTCTGCTACAAGATCCGAATTCGGACTCTGCGTGGGCTGCATTCTAGCAGTAGCAGCGCAGAGCCGGCCTCTCGCAGCTCCATGAGAAGCCGACGAGTTGCCGCGGCAGCCTCGAGCCTCTTGAATTCCTCCTCACCGAGGTGATCCTGGCAGGCCAAGGGCCAAGGGTTTTCTTCCCACAGACTTTTGCCGGCTTTTCATACAAGAGAACACGAAAGGGCCCAGGGCCTGCAAGAGGCTGGTGATCTCCTCCTGCAGCAGGGCATGCTTCGGCATGTGTCTTCAGCTGATCTAAATGACGAGGCAAGGTAGAGGCGACCTTGGCCGAGTGGTCACGGCACCGCTGCAAGGCAACGAGAACGTCAACGTCGATTTCCTACCAGCTTGCTGCGAGGCAGCGGCTTTCCAAGTACCATGCGCTGTGCTCCACATGACGGGAATATTGTCTTGGTCACGCCTCGTCGTGCGAGGCATTTCGCACAATGGCCTCTGCTGCCGCAACAGCGCCAATCTGCACCCACATCCAGAGAGGGCACCGGAGTCGCTTGTCCTGTCTCATTCCACGGTGACGGCTGATGCGATCACACGAGGCTCGCAGGCTCTGAGGCCTTTCCGATCAAAGGCTGCAGCACATCTTCGAGTGCGTGCCGGACCTAACATTCTGCTGGGAACCTCAGACCTCTGCTCGCAGCAAAGAGCAGTCCAAGCCTTACTGCTCGAGATCGTCTTGAGCTCGTCGAGGCAGTCCGAAGAGACTTTGGCCCCGTGCTGGCCTTGTACGACTTCTACAGTCTCTTCCACACGCGCCGTGCGATGGCATCCCGGCTTTGGCAGCTAGGGGTCTCCCGTCGAAAAATATTGGAGGAAAGTGTGCAAATCAAATGCTCCAATAACTCAGTAGGTTCAGTAGATCAGCAAGAGTCCTTCACTCCGACGTCTGAGCTTCAGGCATACAGCTGCCACACCGTTCACGCAGCGACTCTGCAATGCTGAGAGGAGCGGCGTATCGTTTCCAATATCAGCGTTCACCTAGTCATGTCAGGCGGCTTGCAATCAAAACTACGAGAAACCGAAAGGCACGTGGCCTGCACCTTTGCTTCCACAAGCGCTGCAACTGCTTTCTGCATCGTGTCCTCAGCAAGATCCGAGCTGAGCCGTGATGAGCATCGTCTGAAACACGTGATACTTTCCACTCACATCCAGTCTCGCATCTGTGACGGTTGCTCTCTCCTGGATTGTACGGCCAAAGCCCTTTTTCCCTGCGGTGGCCTACATGTGGGGCCTACATGTGGCTTCAGAGACTGGGCGCTCTAACAAACAAGTCATGACTGCATGATATCCCGTGAAAACCCACGAGTCGCGTTGGCAGGGAGTCGCACTGGGCCGTGCAGTGGCCATGACTTTAGAGGTTAGAGCAGTAGCACCTCGCTCATGTCACTAATGTCAACCTCATATTTAGAATTCCCCGCGTAATTGCAAAATCCAATTCCCAGAACGTAATTAGAACCCCCCCCCCCCGTATTTGCAGAATCCAAGCGGCCTAAGCGGAAAAAACTGAAAGCAGAAGCTACAAGAGCTGAAAAGGCTTTGGGGCAATTGGAGTATCTCCCGCGGGCTGCAAACAGGGCTCTGACACGTTTGGCTTCTTAACTCTTACCAAGCTTCTGAAGTTATGCTGTACCCGGACTCTTATTACGGAGGCTGAGGCTCACACGCTTGCGGGGGGGAGGGGGGGCCCCTTTCTTAATACGAAGTGAACATTACACTGAAAGTGGGTAGGAGCCTGCAGGCAGGAAGGAACCGAGTCTGAAACTATGCTATGCTGCAAGAGCACGCGAGGCTTCAATCGCATGCTCCCAGTAGCATTTACTGGTACTGATGCACCACCCAGCGCCGCATGGTTCTGAACGTGCTGAGGCGAGGCTCCGATGCCACGTGCAGATTTGTTACCAGCAGCTGCAGTGCAGAGAGGGAGTAGCTGCCCTGGGTGAATCACAGACTCATGGACTCGTAGATGTTTAAGCGAGAGCTCACTGCACAAGACTGCACAAGCCAAGCGAAGCGACTTCCTGGAAATCAGGACCATCTTCTGCCTCCTCTTCCTTCCACAGGACGTGAGACGTGTGCACTAGCAGCAAACTTGACTGTGCAGGGGCAACGGCCTGGGCGTTTGGATCTGCATGCAGCTCCAAGCTGTTCTGCACGATGATCAGATCCACCTGCGAGCATCTCGTTAGTTCCACTCGGTTGAACATGTAATGTTAGCGTCACGCACTGATCCAGCGGCTGTTCAGAGTCAATCTCGCAACCGGGTCACGTCACGCTGGTCATCGAAAGCTTCACGAAGTTCCTGACACTCACCCTCTATTCATCTCTATACTCCTGTTCTTACCTCTGCTGCGGAAGTTTCAGGACACGTCTGGCTTGGCTTCAGGTCCTGCAGCAGCCGACGCGTGGCTGCTTCTGTCTGCAGCCTGGAGAACTCCTGAAAGGAAGGGATCACCCTGTCGGATCTCTGAAACTTCTGCGAGGCCATGCCTCCTCGCCGCATTTGCGCTGAAGGAGGTCCTATCGGATCTGCAGAGTTGCACAACACATGAAACCTGCATCTGGATCATGTCGTTCAGCTGAAGTGAAGGGTGGGCAAGCAGATAAAATTAGTCGAGAACGAGCCCCGGAGAGAGAGAGAGAGAGAGAGAGATGCAAGTGCTCTCCTGGATTTGCGGCATGGACTCATGGACACGGCACCTTTGCAGGCTGATGACATCCTCCACCGATACCTCCAACAGCACAGAATGCAGAACGCTGTATGACAACGTGGTACAGTGGCGCTAGCCTCGTGTGCCCTGAGGCTCCCTGAGCTTCCGGCTGCCTCGTCACTGCTTCGTAGGAGTGCTTCGACTGCTGCGACCGAACCTGTGGAAAGAGGCGAGGCCGAGGTGGAGGTCTCAGAACCGCTGCTTCCACTCTGAGTGCCGGAGCCATGCTCCACCCAGGTCCACAGCGGAAGCGGTGCTAGGCCGCGACCACAGCCACGCAATACGGGCCGCAGAAGTTCCTGCACTTTTGCACTCTATGGCGCCCGGCCACTACAGCCTAAGTGAAGCGGCGCGGCCTCGACGTGGAGCCGGCGTGAGTCTTCCGACAAACAGCTGACCTCCATCGTCGCACAGCCGTAGCCATTGTATGCGTACTGTACCAAACATCCAGTGCCTCGAAGCCCCTGCTTTGGAATGCCATGACGCAAAGAAACCAAGGTGTTGGCAAACAACAACGCAACCCACAAAAACGGGTACCGGCAGCCATTCGAAACGGCGTTGCAAGCACGTTCCGACAAGAATCCAGTTCAACGGCCCTCTCCCCTTACTTCCCAGGCCATGCTGACAATCAACAAAGCTTGGCCAAAGCTCCAACTCCTCCCCCTGCCATTGCAAAAGCACGATTTTGCATGCGTCCTGAATAGCTGTGTCTACTACCAATGTCGCGACGGAAATTGCGTTGCTAACAGTTTTCGGCGGTTCTCGGATTGAAACTCTCAGCTGCTGACCTTCTCTTTCGCATCACCTGTGGGTGTGCCGTGCCGTTCAAACGTTTGTCAGCCAAATGAAATCGCGTTGGGAACATTGGCCAACTTGGAGATGCAGTTTACCATGACCGAAGACTTCCGGACTTGGTTTTTAACACATTTCCAGCCCTGCGACCCCAGAGGAGAATAGAACTACTATGCCAGAGTAGCTCTCTTCTCCTGAAGGGTCGCAGGGAAATTTGTGGTAGCACTCCAGCGGCACAGCAGATACAGCAGCCACAATGACATGGCACGCTTCGCAAGGCAACACAATTCAACACAGAACCCAGCCTGTGGAGCTCGGATAACTGTTCCAACTCCACCCATTCTCTGAAGGATATTGAGCCTTGTTCTTTGGATCCTCTCCCAGCGTCTTTTGCGCCCATTCGTCACCTTCAGCACCTTCGGCTCCCATTCGCTGGCATAAGGTCCCTGATCTGGCTGCTGAGAAGACCCAGCCCCTGTTGCCCTCGAACCGACGTTGCTCTATAATAGTCTATTGTAAAGCAATGCCGGTGGTGCCTCTGGGCACGGCTTATGTGCTTCCGTTGCTGTGCGCTGCGCCACCGTACCATACACTTCTTGGAGAGCTGCCGGCGCAATCCTTCTCGATTCATTGACGTTCAGGCAGTTCAGGTGCTGCGGCGTCTGCTCCAGCTGCTTGGCTGTCGGCGGTGCCTCTGGCTGAGCAATGGGAACCTCGCAAGTCTCGCGATGCTGGCGCACGTTGTCTTTCAACTAATTCGACCCGCTGCAGTTGATGCTGGATTGTCAAAGCCTCAAGAAGGAGCCTCCTTCTTCAGGCTTTGAAAATCCAGCATCAACTGAGGCGGGTCGAATTGGCGGCTTTGAAGTAGCTTGATCTCGCCCTGCATCTTGGCGATCTTGCGGCTTTTTTCGGGAAATTCTTGTGCAAGCGCGACGACGGGATCGAGAGCTTGCGGTCGGAGCTACGGAGGACCGCAAGCTCTCGATCTCGTCTTCGCGCTTGCACAAGGCTGCGACTCCCGTGTCGCGCAAAGAATCGAAGATATTCCTCACGGTCGCGAGGAAGATCTTCGATTCTTTGCGCGACGCGGTAGTCGCAGCCTATCCGCACCTAGGAAAGCAGGTTCGGTTCGGGATGACCTGATGCAGCCGAACCTTGAACCCGGCTGCGGTCGCACGGCAGAGCTTCAGAACCGGAGTTTCCACTCAAACCTTCGACAAGAATGTTTACCACTCTCAACGCTGCATTCAATAGGTTTGAGCTCTTCAATACGATACCTCCGTTTCCAGCTTCGAGTAGTGCAAGAAAAGCCTCGTCCAGAATCTCGGTTGCTATCCGTGGTGCAGGCGAAGCAGGGCCTCTCCGAGTTGAAGTTTGGATTGAGGGCAGGCTTTCAAGGGATCTGTAAGGCCATCTGCGTCCAAGCCTTCAGCGCTAGCTTTCGCCAGGACCTGTGCGAGAGCCGTTCTCGAAGCACTCGGGAGACGGTCATGCAACGCAAGGCGGCAAGGCGTCCCCCGCCTCGAGCGCCGTCATGTTTCGGTGCCGCAGAGCCACCCTCGGCAGGGGCGCTGGGTCACGGATGTTCACGGAAAGTTTTCACGGACACCTTCCTTTGATGCAAGGGGTCGACTGCCAAACATGCTTTAAGATGCGGGCAGGAGCGGGGTCGCTCCGTCATCCACCTTTCGAAAGCTTGGCCCTTCTTGCGCTGGGTTCTGATGCACGGTGCCAGCCTCCGTCTCCAGATCTGCCCGCGCCTGCAGAGTGCTGAGATGTGCTGAGGCTCACAAGCGACAGCGAGCCAGTACCAAGGATCCCTGGAGCCTCAAGCAAAGCTTCGATGCCCTTCGTCACAGATTCGGTGCTGGAGCGATAGCACATGGCCTCCATAATCAAGACTGTCATCCACCGGAAAGTTCCCCCGCCCCATGTTCGCCAAAAATGGGAAGACGAGCTCTGACGAGGTCACGGCCAGCAGCGCCAGCCCGGTGAGCCCCAGAGCTTCGTCTTCGGCAGTCTCCTGACGGCGGGCTCTGAGCCTCGAAGCTCTCTGCAAGAGACCCCTGGGCCCACAATGTGCCTCCTTCTCTCTGGCATTCGGATCAGCGCCGTTCTGCAAGGCCTCTCCGTATCGAAGCTTGGGGACATCCAGTCCTGAATTTTTTTGGGGGGTAAACTGGGACCATGGCCTCCTGGATGATGGACACCTCAATGTCACGCTCCTCGCATCGACGGTGCAGGCTTCGCTTTTCGCTGCTACGACAGCCAAGCAAGCCGTGCAGTATGATGCTCTGAGGCAGGCCTCATCAAGAGCCTCGCATTCAGAGAGCTTGTGGCTAAGCATTCGATCGAGGCATGCATGAACCCTGCGGAACCGGAAAGCGTGCCTGACGAACTTCCATCAACATGCGTCGCGTGGCTGAAAATGTATGCATCTTCTGGAACTGCTCCTGCCAGTACTTGTAGCATGTTCAAACGGCCCTAGCGCTCGTAAAAGACTCCCGCATTGCTGGCAGGCCGAGATTTTTTGCTCAAGCGGCAGTCTCGCAGGGCCAGACTGCTTACGCCGATCTAGTCGCCTCGCCTCGCGGAAGGCAGGCCAGCACAGAGCAAGAAGCTCACTTAGCCCAGATCCCTGCAGGCAAGACGCGGAAGCCGCGACAGGAGCTTCTTGGCCTCCGCTAGCCGATGCCCCCATGCGAGTCTTCAAGGAGTCGGCCTCAAGCCCGCCCGGGGGGCGCCTGCAGCTTGAGCAGGCCCAGCTCTGAGCAGAGCTCCTCCTCGGAGAGCTCCGCGAGCATTGGCCCGTCCACCGCGTTCTCCTCGTTTTCGGCTGACTCAGAGCAGAGCCAGCAGAGCAGTTTCTGTTTTGCTCTCGATTTCATGCTCTGCTTCAAGGGAGTCCTTGAACTTGTCACCGGTGTGTCCTTACTGGCAGGGATCTCGATTCGCACGGGCCGCTTAGCTGAACTGAGCACACCGGCCGAGTCCCAGAAAGTCAAGGAATTGAAGCACCTTACTTTCGTTTGGTCGCCATCTACAGAGCATCACTCTTATCTACAATTGGTCGCCTGCTCCATGGACCACTCTGCCGGCGGACCAGGTGGGCACTCCGCAACCTGCACCGGCTGCAGCGATATGATCGATATGCCCGTCTGTGTGAGGCTCCGCTAGGGACGGGAAGGCATGCCAAGCCTTTTGAGCTTTCTCCTGTTTCACTTCGCTGTCGGGAACCAAGCGCGCTTTTGGCACAGACACCTTCGATAAGGTCAGAGTCAACTGGCAACGTGCACGGCCTTTCGGCAACCTGCCTCCGAAATGGAAAGCGAGTCGTCGTAGCCTGAACAGCATAGCCGCCGTGTGAATGCAGAACGTTCTTCCAGAGTCTGTACCGTTGTAGTCAAGGCAAGCAGATCATGGCTTTCACCCTGTGATTTTCTGATGCGCCTTTGCCACGTGTCAGCGGAATATGCTTCTGCCTTGCATGCTAGGGAATGCTAAAACTTTGAATAAACAGTACAAGCAACTTGCACTCTGTAGCTCCATTTGTCCCAGCTTGCTTCAGACTTTGCACCTTTAAAAAAGCGCCGCCTGACCATCAACAAAGAAGGGGGTGGCTGTTGGGGACAAGATGCTGTCGAACATCCGGCTTGTAGTCGGCTTGCCAGGCTTCGCCCGCGTCATTGGCCTTGGATGGCGACACCCCTGCGGACGGAAAAAACTTCATTGGCCAAGCTTGCTTCTGAACGCCTTTGCCTTTCTTGCAGCCGGAGAGTCGGCCTCTGCGTCCAAGAACGCGAGCATTGACTGCAGCGACTTCGGGGGTGCTTCATCACCTCATGCTCTCCGGGGCAGCTTTTTGCTGCTGTGGGTTCGGCTTGGCCCTGGGGAGTCTCAGTGGAGCCTTCGTCAAGACGACGAACCGTGAAGGCAGTGCCTGGGGAGCTGCCGTCTAATCCCATTCAGTGTTTCTCGGTCATGCAGAGCTCACCTGCCTCCCACCACCATCTCTGTTTCTCTCGGCAGCGCCTCTTTTGGCAACGTCTCTTTCGGCGGCCTTCTGCCACCCTGAGTTTGCAAGTGAAGCCGGGGGCGATTGCGGCCAGCGTTTACAGAGGGCTGTGCCACGAACTGCGGCAGAGCTTCCAACTCGCTCATAGCCTTCTTTCGAGCTGCGACTGCAGCTGCGAGGCTCTCTCGCGTGGAGTCGCTTGGTCTCAAAGGCCGTCCTGGTCCTGGCAGTAGGCAAGACTTCAAACAGAAAACACTAGAAGACAATTGGCCCGAAAGCATCATCAGCGAAGAGTGTTACGCTACGTCATAGAATCCAGTGTATAGGGTCATAGAGTCACCGAGTCAAAAGCACGGAGTCACAGAGTCGGAGTGTCACATACAGTCAAGAGTCGTACAAGTCATAGTTCATAGAGTCATCGAGAAATAGAGTCGAGTACATGTCAAGCACAAGTCATAGTTCAAAGAGTCATAGAGTCATATAGAGTCATAGAGTCACAGTGAGACAGAATCATAGAGTCATAGTGTTATAGAGTCATAGCGTCAGAGTGAGAAAGAGTCATAGAGTCATGGAGTCATCTATGTACCACGCACTTGACTTGATGTAGTTCACTCTATGAACACTAATGTTCAGGTTTAGCGGGTTTAGAGTATAGTCCAACATGACGCAGAAGTCTTCCTTTCCTAGCTCCGGAACCTCACTATATAGACATCCCTGATTACTGTGGTTTCAACGTGACTCTATGACTCTATGCATGGTCACTTTATGTCGCAGCAGTAGTAGTAGTAGTAGCAGTAGTAGTACTAGCAGTACCAGTACTAGTAGTAGTGATAGTAGTGGTAGTCGTAGTAGTTGTAGTAGTAGTCGTCGTCGCGTAGTCGCAGTCGTGGTCGTAGTAGTAGTAGTAGTAGTAGTAGTTGTTGTAGTTGTAGTACTAGTAGTAGTAGTAGTAGTAGTAGTAGTAGTAGTAATAGCAGTAGTAGTAGTAGTAGTAGTAGTAGTAGTAGTAGTAGTAGTAGTAGTAGTAGTAGTAGTATCTTTTGTAGTAGTGGTAGTAGTAGCAGTAGTAGTAGTAATAATAGTTGTAGTAGTGGTAGTGGTAGTAGTAGTACTAGTACTAGTTCGAACACTCGACAACGCCAATTTCTGTGAAGGGTTGCAAGTTTCACCTCAATGCACATCAAAAGTAATAACTTTACCTCGCGTTCGAACACTCGACAACGCCAATCTGTGTGAAGGGTTGCAAAATTCATCTCAATGCACATCAAAAATTGCAACTTTACCTCGCGTTCGAACACTCGACCACGCCAATCCCTGTGAAGGGTTGCAAAATTCATTTCAATGCACATCAAAAATTGCAACTTTGCCTCGCGTTCGAACACTCGACCACGCCAATCCCTGTGAAGGGTTGCAAAATTCATCTCAATGCACATAAAAAATTGCAACTTTACCTCGCGTTCGAACACTCGACCACGCCAATCCCTGTGAAGGGTTGCAAAATTCATTTCAATGCACATCAAAAAATGCAACTTTACCTAGCGTTCGTGCATTCGACCATGCCAATCCCTGTGAAGGGTTGCAAAATGCCAATCCCTGTGAAGGGTTGCAAAATGCAGTTGAGCTGCGCCCAAACCCTGTGAAGGGTTGCGCGGCGCCCGCAAAATGTGTAACTTTACTTCGCGTTTGAACACCCGAGGAAGCGAATCCCTGTGAAGGGTTGCGCGGCGCCCGCAAGAAGTGTAACTTTACCTCGCGTTTGAACGCCCGAGGAGGCGAATCCCTGTGAAGGGTTCACCCGCGCGCGCCTAAAATGTGTAACTTTACCTCGCGTTTGAACGCCCGAGAGTTCCAATCCCTGGGAAGGGTTGCGCGGGAACCCTAAAATGTGTAACTTTACCTAGCGTTTGGGCGCTCGAGGAGGCGAATCCCTGGGAAGGGTTGCGCGGCGCGCCTAAAATGTGTAACTTTACCTAGCGTTTGGGCGCTCGAGGAGGCGAATCCCTGGGAAGGGTTGCGCGGCGCGCCTAAAATGTGTAACTTTACCTAGCGTTTGGGCGCTCGAGGAGGCGAATCCTTGGGAAGGGTTGCATTCCCGATGGACGACGACGGTGCCACCCGTGGCTTTAGAAGAGAGATTTAGATACCGAGATGTAGAGAGTATGTAGAGAGGTAGAGAGTAAGTCAGAGAGTAAGTCAGAGAGTAAGTCAGAGAGTAAGTCACAGAGTAAATCACAGAGTAAGTCAAAAGTAAGTCACGAGATGTAGAGAGTATGTAGAGAGGTACAGAGTAAGTCAGAGAGTAAGTCAGAGAGTAAGTAAGTCAGAGAGTAAGTCACAGAGTAAGTCACAGAGTAAGTCACAGAGTAAGTCAAGAGTAAGTCACAGAGTAAGTCACAGAGTAAGTCACAGAGTAAGTCAAGAGTAAGTCACAGAGTAAGTCACAGAGTAAGTCACAGAGTAAGTCACAAGTAAGTAAGTATCAAGTGTAGAGTCAAGTATCAAGTGTAGAGTAAAGTATGGAGTCAAGTAAGTTGATTCTATGTCTGTCATCTATGTACTCAACTGCGGCGTTCCACACGGAAGAACCCTTCGCGAAGCTTTCGGGAACAAGGCACAAGGCATTTCGGCTCCATGCCTCCGGAAAGGGGCTTCTTGACCGTGGCTGCCTGGTGTCGCTTTACTCGTATCTTGGCATGTTTTCGAGGCTCGCACAGGACTCTGCAAAGCTTTGTGCCAGGCGCGGGCGAGGTCGGGCTTGAGGAGCTTTGGCCATCGCAACCGGGTGGGTGGTACGTTTTGCACAGCCTCGCGAATCCGCCGAGTGACCGGCCGGCTCAGGCAGTGTGGGGCTCCGAGCCACCGGCATTCCCCAAGACGTTTATGTCGTAGGTGCCTGAGTGAACCGATGCGTTGTCAAGTGATTTCGATCAGCCACATGGGACCGAGGCGCCATTCCGGTTGCGGTGCAACACAGTCGCCTCGATCCAGCCGTCGTTGGAGCAGTCATCCTCAGCTCGAGATCAGGCTCACAAGCAAGGTTACTTAGAGATGTTTTTTTGGGGGGAGACCTTGCACACCGAGATGGCATACTTGCATTGCCGAGTCGCGTAGTCGACGACTGCGCCAACATGAAACACTGGATCCTCCTGCTGTGTCTTTGGGTTCGCCTTGGCAGCGCCACTTACTCCTCTCTTCACAACGAAGCAGACGGGCGAGCCACCTTCGCAGACTCGCCAGCTTGTGGCATTGCCTTCGTCATCCCAAGCGTTTACGGAAGCAAGTGTGGCTCACACCAGTCTGCTCTCCACAGTGTCAACATCAGACGTGTGTCTAATAAGGCAAGAAGCTCCACTCAGAGACGTGTGCTTCAGCGTCCTGGGCGGCGCCTGGCCGTTGGGCCACCGAATCTTCGTCGCAGGCACCTGGGGCTCGACGTCCAAGTCCTTGGCCGCTCAGCTGATGACGCGGGAGGACGTTGGACAAAACATGGCAACGAAACTGTCGCCACGGTGAGTCTCTCGTCGACCGCGCTAGTGCCGTTTACCTGAGGTCGGCTCAAAGATTCCATTGCGAACACGATGAAGTATCTTCGCCGGGACCCATCGACCTTGTGCGCCGGTCAGTCTTGGCCGGGCTGTGGTTGCCTAAATCACCTGCTGCCAACTTGCCCCCTAAGAGCTACATCAGCGGTGTTCAAAACGAAGATGGTGCTATCGCGGAAGCTATCGCATTGCTGATGCGCGTTGCGGAGAATCTGACGCGCCGGCGTTTTCGGCATTCAATGACGTGCCGCTGCCGGGCACCGAACCCCAGCTGACGCGGACCAACCAATCTTAACGTCTATACAGTTATAAACGCCCACAGGAAGGGTCTTAAACGGTGCTCGCATGTTGACAGCTTAACAGAGGCTCATTTTTTATATCAAAGCTGAGCAGCCGTTTGAAAAGCGATCGAACTCGACCATGGCCCCATCAGGGTAGTCCAGCACAATTGCTTGCGATGGCTGTCTTTGTGCCTTCTGTGTAACTTCCTTTGCCCTCGAGCCCCCAGTGAGGAAACCGGGTCTGAGAGTCGTAGACTTTGGAGCCTCCGCTGGGCTGCTTTGGGTTTCTCGAGTTTCTCGAGCTGTGCTCGGAGGGGCAGGAGAGGCGGGAGAGGCTGGAGGGGCTGGTGCGGTAGCTGCGTTCGGTTGGGGCATCGCAGGTGCCGCCGGTTGTGCAGCCTGCTGGTTGTACCCAGGACGCGGCGCGCTGTTGTTCATCCCGCTGGCGAGGCTCTTCAAAATGTCCTCCTTCGAGCGTATGTACCTGGCAACATCTGGCCACAGTCCTGTGGAATCTTGTTGAGCTGCATTCAAGGTAACCACTCAATAAGAAAATCCCTATTAACAGACAAAACCCTTGCTTGAGCGACTGCTACGAGTAAGTAAAGTTTGTACAACACTTGTCATAAGTCGAACTTCTAGTCAGTGCCATGCCACACTTCGTTCCAACGCCACCTCTTGTTCTCTTCCCTCTTCAGCACCTGGGAGCTTCATAAAATGGGGGACCTAGAACATAGCATATAGAACTCCAATAGCGAATCCTATAGTCTACCCTGTATAGTAGGACCCCCAAAACCGGACCGAGCTTTCTGCAACTCCAGCCTTCTGGCCATCCTCCAAGACGAGGGCGGCACTCTCTTCGGCAATTTGTCGAGGCAGGGGCCTGGAAGCTGCGTCGTCCATGGACGTGTCGGTGATGCTTTGCGGAAGTCAAACATCTGGCAAGATCTCCCTAAATATCGATAAACTATGGCTATGAGGACAAGAGATGGAGATAGAGATGGCGACAGAGACAGCTCATAGCGAGATTGCAAAGCTTGCTGCCAAGCCACTCGTCGATCAGCAAGAGGCTCGGGGGAGTTCCAGCCTTGCACAGAGACCATGCGCACTCTACGCCACAAGTGCAGAAGCGACGGGCAGACCTTTTGGGCCATGGTTGGCCATGGTAGGTTAACAAACGAGGTGGATTGGCGCTCAAAACCGCCCGCCTCAGTTTCCAAACTGTCCCTGCCGATGATTATGCATTCTTCGTGTGTAAACCTAGACGTAGCCCGTGCCCTTGAGCGCGACGTGCTTTGAGACGAGTCACTGAACCGAATGTCAAACCGTAAAGTCCAACCCGCTCGACACTTCGCGGGTCTTGCCTTCAACTGAAAATACTAGAGCTCTCTGCATGAGTCTTTACGATCTTGTTGTTATGTTCGATGAAAATACATGCCTTTGACCTGGTTTGTTTGCCGGATCGCACAGCAGCTGTGCGGTGCTTCTCTTTTAATTCTTGCTAATAAGGCAACAATCTTCGAGCCCAACTTTTGCGAAACAGAACGAAGGTGAAGCGGAGACGTCTGCAACCTACCGCGGAGCAGGGCGGCCACCACTCGCAGTCAAAACCCGATCAGGCACACGGCATGGCCCTTCAAGAGTTCTCCTCGCCGAGCAGCATTCGGCTCCGCCGTGCCATCGGCGATCCACTGTGTTTCGGCAGGCCATGTTCCAGCGTGTTCTTTCACGCTGTAGACCCATCCTGTCGCACCGGGTCATGCGGCCCTTGCAGCACAGCTACTCGCACACTCCAGCCTGTAGTTTTGTAGATGCTGTTCATCTTCCAGAACCTGTGCAGCCGGGCCATTTGGGCCATGCTTGCAAGCAAACCCGGGAGCAGATGGCTTCTATGCAAGTTCTAGCACCGATTGCATGACCCTCGAAAAAACCTTGCTGTCGCTTCTTCGAAAAGACGACCTCGGGGTGTCCCCGAGCTGCTCTACTGACATCCCTTTGTTTGGAGTCTGTCAATGCAGCAGGTAAAGTCTGACATGATGTGATCGAAATGGATCTGGTGCAATCAACCTCCACAACTGGTCAGCCACACCTCCGAAGACAGATACAAAATAGCTTCCAAAGATCAGGTCAAGGATCTTGTTGAAGTAGATCACTGCGCCATTGTCCGCCTTGAACATTGGCTTGCCCTGGTGCAAGCCACAGTATCGGTAATCCCGATTGCAGGCATGTATGCCGGCACCAGAAGCCCGCAGAGAAACCAGGCAAACTCGTCTCTCCTTCTTGGGTGTAGTTTCCTCGGCTTGTCAGTAAACTCGCTGGCCCTCAGATTGACTTCTTTGAATCCCAGGTTCTCTGGCCTGCATGGCCTGACCAGGAAGGGTCTGGAGCACTCGCATAGCTTGGCACACAAGTCAGGCAAAAGAAAGTGCACATACGCGCACCTGCGGTTGGACCGCCTCGGATCTATCCAGCGCAGTGACATCCTCAGCTTCTGACCGCTCTCACAAAACTGATGCATGCGGGTCAGGTCCAGATTCCCATTCATTCCTCATCCCGTTTTGCTCAGCATTCTTGGCAGAGTCTGCCAAGAGCCGGGTGGTTCTGCCAAGTGGGCAGGTTTGATGGCTTGGCTGGTGCGCTCTGCTACACAGAACCCCGACTTCATCAGACAAGGTGCCCGAGATATCGGTCTGCGCTGCATCCCATCTGTCTCCAGTAGGGCATCCAAATCCGGCACCTACGGTGGGGTATCTCTTTTCAGTCTTTACTTTAATTTAGAGTGCAATGTAGACGTCGCCATCAGCTGTCCATCTCGCCTTCTCATCCCGTGTGGCCCCAGTCATAGCCCGCAGATCTGCAGCCTTTTGTTGCCAGCAGACTTCCGCCACATCGCGAGGCTCGGGCTCCGTGGCATCCAGCGGTATGCGGTTCCTCGCACAATCAAGCTTCCTACGAGCTTCGATCTGGAGTATTTCTACAAGGGCTTATTAGGTGGAATCTTCCGTATTAGCATCAACAAACTTCGGTGCGAATCGGTGGCGCCTGCGGAACAGCTTAGAGGCCGCCCCTGCTTATGCCAAGCATCCGGTTGAAGAGCCCGGAGCCCGCCATGTTGGCATATGGCAGATCTTGGGTACTACTTCTGCATGCGTAATTTTCGCAAAGATCACATTGAAGAGGTTCCTGGAAGCTGCTCATATGTTTGTGGATGTTGTTGGCTTTGCGAATTGCTTGCTCTGTCTTCCACGTGGATTGATTTTCAGTTTGCTTACATTGGCTTACACAGCTTCAGCGGACATAGCTGTCCTGACCTGATGCGTCGTGAAGCATGATTTGTCTACAGCAGCTTGAGCAAGTGCAAATTGGCTGACGTCAATAGTCCGGCATGCAGAGACTCCGTACGTGGTTTTAAAGTCTCGATAGAGTCCAAGTACTCTGCCCATGTTGTGACCATGACTGACTTTGCCCCTTCCAACAAACCCGAGCTACGGGTGGATGAACTGAACGGAAAAGCCAAGCGACGAGGGTTGAGGAGGTGAGGCTCAGAGAGGTAAATACAACCCTGGCCAACCTTGAGCTGAGTATAGCTCAGAGCACAGCGCTCCTCGCCGACATGCTCTCGAAGATGCTCAGCAATCTGCTTACGACCTGGCTCGTGGGCCAAGAAACAGTGAGGGCCACGTCTTGTATCCAGGCTTCGCGCTGTCATCGTCGCCGCCTTGGCTAGCGCTGGTCTGTACTTGCACGGTTGCGACATGCGCTGCGGTGCCAGGCTGCAGATTTCAGCAACGCTGCCAAGAGACTGCTCCGCTGCAAGGCGATGAACACATCTTCGCCCACTGCCTCCTCATGCGCCGCATTGCGAAGCAGAGCCTGTCTCCGACACAGGTCACGGAGAACACTGTTGACATGCGGCTTATTTGCGACTCACATGCGTGAAAGGACATGGTAAGATTGAAATGTTCGACCAGCACCTTTGTATCTGGATGTTCTCCAATTGAAGCTTGGCTGTGGATACAACTTGCGACAATGTCAAAGCTTCTGACCTCCACTGCTGCGGCGCTTCCGGCCTAGCGCTGTTGCGAATCACGCAGACATGCGGATAAGATTCGATGGTAAGACACATTCACCGGGCTGCCAGCTTGAATCCAAACCCACAGTGGCAGCCTGGTAACTGGGGAAGTCTGCATGGGATTGCACTTGGCAAGGTGGACTCGTGCCTTTAAAAAATAACGGTGCAACTGCGCCTCATGTTCGGATCTCCTTGCACTTGGGGACGCATCAGCCTGGCCCACTGTGTGACCCATGGGACAAGCCTAGCCGAGCTGAAGCGCCCGCCCACCTAGCCCCCGCCCAAACGATACCCACAAGCGCGGCGACCGCCAGATGTTCATGGGAGCCTGTGTCGGAACCTTACTACTTAAAAAGGACCAAGTCTTGCTGGCAAATCTTCTCCAACATTCACGGTCTCCATGTGACCTCCCTAGAGGCCCGCGCCGTACTCAAAGAGAGGCTTCTTGCTCTGAGCTGCACTGGATGGAGCTGCAAACAAAGAAATTACGATCCCCAATCGGAAAGGCCCCAACTGTGAAAGGCCACAACGGGCTTTACGCCTGCCCGCCTCTCCATTTCGCAGCGCTGCCACTCCAGCGAGACACCCTTGAGTTCCTCCAACACCTGCCGGCTTGAAGAATGCCTCTTATGCCCATGCTAGATATGGATTCCAAGCCACCGCATCCCACCTCTGGAGTTACCCGAGCTCCCACTTCACAAAGCGCGGCAACTGCGGCGGTGTTTCGACCTAACTTCGGAGATGCTGAAGCCATCGAAGCACGAGCTGGAAAGGCTGCTTTAGAATGACTGTACCACAGGATTGGGAAGTAAGAAGTTGGCACTGCACTGCAAGGAGCAAAGGACATCTCTCACTGGGCCAGCCATTGACCTGGGCACTCAATAGTTGGAATGACTACAACAAAAGGCATGTCACGCAGGAGTAGCCTGGTGCCCCGTACTTATGCTTGGCTCAAGCAGTCAAGCAGCGTCAGCTCCGGCGTTCACCAAAGCCTGTATCAGAGTACGGACCTCCAGCAGGCACATACCAAAAGATGCAGCGGACGAAGGCGTGTGGCGAATGTGAAATACAAGGACGGGGCCGTCTCGTCCGAGACCTCAAACATTTGCATCAGGGGTTGCCCTTGGCAGTGTGAGTGAATGATCTGCATGGTACCTTGTTGTTCATCGCAACGAGGTTGACTGCAGTTTGTGCTTGCATCTCGTCCTCTGCAACGATCGGAGCACCAAAAAAAGCAGGTCCGCTGCCGATGCGACTTGCGGCTACGGTCCTCACCCCCGGAGTCTTCCGAGAAGATGCCCTCCTGTCAGCGTCACACGGCATCCCTGCAAGAGGAAAGCTCAAATAGAGCCCGAGCTCTGTAGCTACTGGCAACAGCGTCCTCATCGCTGCTGTCGCCGTCGATCCCCTCCCATTCCCACACCTTTCGGCTGGTGCTCAGAGAAAGCAGGACAGCTACCCTGCGATAAGGACTCTCAAACATGCCGGGACTACACGACCACAAACGCAGGTGATCTTGCGGCAGCCCTCGCTGCGTTGTGTTGGTACCCCGCATCCGGGACACAGTTGCGCCTGGATGCATCGCGATGCGACGTTGCTTTCGTGTGCACTTGGCGACGAAAGCCTGGCGTGCTTTTTCGGAGCGCAGTCGCTCGTTGCCTTGTCAAGAGCACGATGTGAGCTGCTCTGTTTTGAGTATTGCAGCCCTGAAAAAGCACGGATAATTTGTTCTGTGCTGCACCAGTGTTCTTGCCATGCATTGACAACATTGACTGGGCATTGGGCAGGTAACTCCTCTGTGCCACGACGACACTTTGCAGCGGAAGCAGAACTGCCTCAGCAGGACAAGCCCATCGAGCAGTCCAGGACGTGCTGAGTCCAGAAGTTTCAAAGGGTGTGCTCCAGGTGCGGCCCAACTGCTCCCCGCAGCAAGGGGTACCTCAACAGAAGGCACAAGTGGGCTCCGCAAAGCCACCTGCACAAGAGAGATCCGTCTCACTTAGCACGGCACGCTGTCGTGGGAAACGGTGCAGCCAGGCCAGTTGGAGGGCTAATCGTCGCCTGGGGTCCAGGAATCTGGGAGGAGTCGGGTCGTGTCCACTGGCCGAGAAAATGGGCTCCCTGGCTCCAGGTCCTCGATCCAGTTGGCTTGGCCACTCGGACCGAGCACCTGCTTTCTGCTTTCTTGGGAGAACACAAATCTGGAATCTGGCGAGTGTGATCGTCTGCCTTGTTCATGCTGCTGGGCGGGGCCCCACCCTTGCGGTGCCCACAGGAAAACTCGTCCAGGATCGTCTGCAGGAACTTCTCTGCAGGCACCTACGAGATCTTGGATGCAGAGCTGGGGGCACTGGATGCGCTAGGATGTGCTATCCGATTATCCGGCGCGCGGAATTCGCCTCTGCTAGGAAGAAAGCTTCCCATGCCATCCAGAGCCGCTCGCGCGCCTGCGCCAAGCATCACAGCAGCTTCAACACTTCTCGAAGCAAAGCGTGGATTCTCCGGCCTCGGTCCCGAGCATGCCAAAAGGCTTTCCGGCGCTGGCATGGCCTTCCAGCTGGCACGAGCTGGTGACCAGCGGTGATGTGCATTGTAGCCGACATCGGTGCTTCCAATTGCTTGCCCCTGCCTTCCATGCCAGGCCTCAGGTAGGAACCTGTTTCATCGCAGGCTGCACACCTGTAGGTGAGGAGAGCCTGCCAACAGCAAGCTGGTCATGCAAGTGGCCAAGCGAAGAAGCACGCAGTGGTGAAGCTAAGCTGTGCGCTCGGGCATTTTCCTGGTATTTGGCAAAGGTCTCCTCCTGTGAACATGGTAGGAGGGGACCTGCCTGCTTGTGATTTGAATCAAGATCCCCGCCTTTACTAAAGGCGCCCAAGCTGTTGTCGCTAGGCGAAGGTTACAAACTGGGCAACGCACCTGAGACACGCGGCGAATATAGAGAAGGACCGGCAGCGCTTTAGCAGAAGAGGCCAAACAGAGGCCGCAGGCTGGGCCCCGCGCAGCAGGTGCGGCGTAAAGCCCACTGTCTATGACTGCCTGCAGAACAGCCAGCTGCTGCCAGCTTCGTAAAAAACGGGGGGGACTAAGACTTACTCGGCTCGGCGGGCCCAGGCGGCCAGCCCGGCCTCAGCGTGCTGTCGTAAGCAGTTGGAGCAGAAGGCCTGGCTCGAACGCTTCTCGTATGCGGCTCCGACTGAGCCTTCACAGCACCTTCCCACCACAAACGTCGCGACCACAATGCCAAAGCTGGCAGGCGCTGAACAGCTCCATGCAGATGCAGCACCTTCCGCACATGTAAAACAGCCGCAACCCTGTGGATCTTAAGTTCAGCCGAGGCACTGCGTGGCTTCGCATGCCGCAGGATCCTCATGCGTTGGGGCCACCGAAACGGCCCTCTCACGAACCCGATGACTGGCAGCCTCCGGCTGCCGAAGTTGGACAAGAAGGCCTTGACTGATGTTGGAGCCGATCTTCCTCCAGAGACTTTTGAATCACATATCCCTTCAGTTCTCGTGACGCCAGCTTCCTTCGTTTCCTATGCCAAGCTCCGCAACCTTTCGTAGCCATTGCATTTGCTGGTTCGCTAGCCTTGTCGGAGGTGGAGGCAGTCCGGCTAAGACGGCTGCTTCGTCCTAGCAACATCATGGCAAGCAAACCGGCATGAAGCGCCTCAGCTCACATTGCGAATTTCTGCGCAGATCTCGCCTGCTGTGTGACCAAGGAGCCACCCAGAAATGCTTCAGCCTGAGACACCGGTAAGCCACAAGTGTCTCAAGCTGCAGCCTTAGTCCTCCAAGGATCGGGCCGGTAAAGCTTTGGGCACTATCAGCATGTCCTGAAAAACGGCATGCAACTGTTCTACGGTTTACAATTGCTCGCAGCATCAGCTTTCAGCCTGTGACGGAATCTCCCGTATGTGCTCCGAGTCCACACAAGGAGGGCAAACATCTCCTGCGACAAGGCGGGCAGGGCATGGCAGAGCATTGCAAGGGTTCAACACAAGCCGCTGGGAAGCCTGAAATGACATCGGGAGGAGGACGCCGCCGCCTTGGCTCAAATACCATTCGGCCATTGGCCTCCTGGAAGAGCTTTCCAATCGCTACAAGTAGGACGTGCAGGCGAGCAGCCAGTGGCTTCTGGAACTGCTCATTGCGGGAACCAGGGACATCAGCTGCCTCAGGGGCGATTCAGACGGACTGCACAATCAGACTCCCAAGCAGACAATCGAAGCCAAGGCGCTGCATTTCCGGCCGTGCCTCGGCGTTTCAGGAAATTTCGCTGCCATGAAACTCCCTGCTAAAAGCCTATGCGCATATCTTGCACATGAAAAGAGAGAGGCAGAGGGACACAGAGAGAGAGAGAGAGAAAGAGGGAGAGAGAGAGCGAGAGGGAGGGAGAGAGAGAGAGAGAAGGAGGCGCACGATGGACTTTGCTTCGGACCACCAGGCTCTCACCATCCGGAAGAAGGCGCTTCAGCATGGCCAACGGGCCCTCGCGGCCGTGGTCCAAGTGGGCAGCGGCCTGCCATCACATCACTCAGACTTTCGCAGACGACATGCGATGCCCGCCTGCAGCAGCATCACGAGGGCTGCGCGGCGCGTCGGTCCCAAGGGCTCGGACCACACCTCAAAAAGCAAAACAAGGCAACACTGTCGGGTACTGTCGGTATTGCATTCTGAGGCAAGCCGCGAGCTGTGTCAGCAGCGAGCGGTTGTCGCGACCAACGGCTACGACGGCCTAAAAACGACAACATTTGGGCTCTCGGACAAGTGAGGAGATGCGAATGGCCGCGGCCGCGCCTTCCGCAGGACTTGGCTTGGACCCCACAGCTCTCGGACACCCCACATCAAGCGATCCCACTCCTTTCCCGAGATACCGTCAGAGTGTTTTAGAAGGAACTCAGCTCTTGCACGCATTGGTCCTCTTTGCGCAAAAGGATGCTTGCACAGCCACCACACGCCTGGCAAGGGGTAGCATCAGCTCTGTAGGTATGCAAACACTGGCTCGGTCGTAGTTGAAAAATGCTGACTAGATGCATCATTTATGAGGTCTGCATGTCCCTGTAGCAGCGTCGGCGTGTACGCTCCCAGGACACCTGCAAGCAACAATGGGCTTTCCACACCGTCCGAATCTGCGCACGATCCAACTTCTTGGGCCTGTGGACAGTTCCACTCCCGTGAGGAGGTCTAACAAAGCCGGTGTGCCACCTGATAGACAGCAATCCTGAAGCCTCTAAAGTCTGAAGTCGCATGTCGCATCGAAGGCAAAGCACCGGGTTTCCGGCATCCGGGGGCCGCTGCGAGGTCTGCTGCGTCGCCGTCCCCGGCAAGAACGTGAAACCACGCCTCCCAGTGCCCCAATAATCCGACGACTTTGCTCCAAGACACGGCTGCCCGCTGGCCTCGTTGATGACTGCAAAGGCAGCCTCCGAGCCAACCAGGGATGCCACTCCGTCATTGGGCGCGACGGGCTCATCACCCATTTTCACATGCGCTCCCGCATCTATGCCAGCACCGACGAAGGGTGCTTTGTGCAAAGACAACGAACGAACAAAGCTCTTTCTGGCTCTTGAGATGGTGGGCAGTGTGTCATGCTTAGTTACTCGGCGTAGTCGTATCGGTCAGACCTAGTGGAAGGGTGTTGCTCCGTTTGGCCTGAACGGTTATACATGACTGCCTTCAACATGCAACAGCGTCCACACTTTGCTGCAGGTGCATTGGTCGGGAACCAAACGAGCCAAGACCTGAATGAAGGGCATGGAAACGGCAGCAGTCAGAAAGTCAGCGAAACAGGCACGAACCAAACCGAGCTGCCCCAACCCACAGAAAAACCAATTTGCAAAGTAGCAGGTTCCTCCCACACTTTTCCGGCGGCGTCAGTCACATCTGGTGTGAATCACATCTTTGGCCTTGGCAGCTGATCATGCAAGGCTGGAGATGCTGGTCTCGGATTTTAACAAGGATGGTGCTTCTTCTGTGCCCGAACGTATGGGGCAGCCATCTGATCGCCAGCAAACCTTGAGTCAGCGAGGAGGCAGTTTCCAAGTAGTGAAGAATCGATATCCACGCATGACATGCCATGTATAAAGGCACCTAGATCCCAAAGACGCAAAAGCCTAAACGGCCGGATCTAGTCTAGTGCTCGGCACCGGACTCTTTGACGATGCTCTCCACCCAGGACAAGCGCTTTCCCTGCAGCGGTAGCCGTGTTGCCACGAGACTCACAAAGGATCCGAATCGCGCTCCGAGCCCGCCTGTCTTCTCTCCCTGCGGTAGTCTTCGATCATCTCGTCTGCACGCTTCAGAGCTTCTGTAACTTGAGCCTGCACGGATCAAAGGCAGAAACTGTGTGGATAAGCTATCATGCCGCACCCACCTGGCGATACTCCTTTCGATACCAGCGCTTCAGTCCGTGTGGCTCTCTGTCCTACCGGACGGATCTCCATGAGCGAATTGTCTGCAGAAGAGAGGCGGAGTTGCTAAGGTCAGGACCATGTAGTGCAGTTTTCCCAGGTAGTAGTCATTTGCCCAAACCCAGGGAAGGCTGTTGAGGTAATACTGCTTCTCAATATCAGCCTTCAGCTCAGAATTCTGCGATGCAGCTAGGAATTGGGAAGCACCCTGGGCCTTGTATCTGCCAGACACTCGTGGGGGATGCCACTCGCCTAGCTCGTCCTTGTACGGGGCAATGTCCTGCGGAACGCGGTACCTGCGGTGGTAGGCTGCGCAGATATCTGAGATGGCGGCGAAACCAGGAAACATGACAAAAATCAAAGCCTTCGGCGGCGAAATCCCACTAGCAGGACAAAGCTAAGGCCTTCGGCGGCTTCCGCGGACGTTGCAGAAGTTTGGCCTGACATAGTGAAGGTGCGGGGTCCACCACAAAGGAAATGTAGTTACCAAGATGCCACCTGCTCCTAGACTCTTAGACGCTGAAGCGGCTGTGGCCCCGGCGACCATTGCTTCCAATTTCGGGACTGCCTTGGGTCGTAAACTTTGGGGCACATGGCGGCAAGCGGCCATGGCTTGCCAAGGGCGGTTTTAAGGAGGGTACCAGGTGTTTAAGCGATACTTCATCGCCGGCTTCAGCCTGACATCACAGATGCTGCAAGAACAGAACAGCTGATCCTATGAATCTTCTGAAGTCACGGGTGTTCTGTTGAGCCCAACAAGGGCTGCCTCACGAAGGGGTTCTGCACAGGACGAACCCGAATGCCACGGACCAGCCCATCCTTTCGAAGCTCAAACCAGCTCAGTGCTTTGTTCCCACATGTTTGTAAGTCTGAACGACAGTTTGCACTTCCGGGCGCACTCAGCCTGGTTTTCTCGACGCGGGGTTCCGACGCATTCGGCCTCGCGTTTTCGACGACAATCGCAGGCTGCGACTGCGCAAAACAGCAATTTGCTCTCTCTCCATGCAACTTTATAAGGCTCGGGCAGCGTATCTGGGCCTCGAAGTCTCTAGGAGCTCTCTAAGAGCTCTCTGTTCTCTGACTCTTGACAACAGCGTTTATAAGGAAAAGAGGGCCCAGTGCTCGGCCCGAGGGCTGGGCATGATCCTCCTCTCCATGAGGTCGAAGCGGGACTCCCAGGCCACTTCCCGCACTGCCTGTTTTTCGTTTCTTCGAGCGGAAGGATCAGAGCGACAGAAACCTCTTTAATCAAGGCAGGCGAGCACGATCCAAAGCTGAGAAGCCAGTCCGGATTGGTCGCAGTGGAGTGAAATTGTGAGGGTGACCTCGTCTCATGTCGACTGACGACTCGTTGCGATGATCCTGTCTATATGCAGACAGACTTGATCAAAAATCTAACGTGATGTTCGATCCACATGTGACTGAGAAGCCAACCCGGATACAGCTGCTCCGGAAATCTTGACCTGTTTTGCTCAGGGCCACAAACGCGCTACGAGCAGCATGTCAGGAGTCAGTTCCCGCTGTTGCATGCTGTTGCCCTGGCAGGGCCCACCCGAGCACTTTTTGATTTTAAAGCCTGGGTTTAGGTCTCGCATCGGCAAGGATCTCTTTCCGAAGCCCTTCGCTCAGGCCGAGCTCCATCAGGATCTCCTGTCAGGCACAGGCACGGGACCAAGCACGACAGGGCACGCGGGGTCAAAGAGGAGAGCCTCAGTCTGTTCCCCAAGCTCAGGAGTTGCGCGTCGCGGCTCTGTCTTTGGAGCATTCATGAAATCCACCGGCGAGGCTGCCATCGTGACCTTGACAAGTCGCAGAGGTTTCGGTGTTCTGCGAAGGTGAGCTGCTTTGCATCGCTGCAGTGCCTCCAAGCGGCCTTTGTCCTTCCTGCCTCCTTCGCCTTCAATGAGAGCGGGGACTCGACGAAGGATCCTGCTGCAAGTGCTTGTGGGTCGGCAGCCACCTGGAAGTGCCGGGCCAGCTGCAACAGCTGTGGCAGGCGACAGAAAGAAAGCATAAACTCAGAAGCGGATTCGTACCAAGTTCTGACGGATGGCTTCTGCGGCAGTCAGGACTGGTGCCCACCAGACTCCCTCTGACTGAAAGAGTGCAGCCCACTCGTCACGAGTCTTTGTGGCGAAGACAGCGTCCAACTCCGCCACAAGCTGTCGCTGGTTCTCCCGTCTCGATCTGGCCGTGGCGAAGCGGGCGTCTTTGAGCCAGTCTGATTGGCCTACTGCCCGGACAGTCGCTGGCCAGTGACGGTCCGCCTCGAAGCCGGTCAACCAGAAAGCCTTGCCATCCTTGCAGCGGTAGACCGTGGCAAGAGGATTGCCCGTGCCGTCACGGCGTCCCCATTGGATCACGCGGCCGAAAGCAAAGTAGGAGCTCAGCGCCTCACGAGGCAAAAGTTGCAAAGCAACCGCCTGCAAACTGCATGGAATCCAAAACCTGGCCTGCAGTCAGGGGGCCCAGGAGTTGCAGTGCACACCCGTGCGGAGCAGGCTGGTACTCAGCGCCATCCCCTTACCAGTCTTCTCTCTCGCGAAGAGGGCCGCGCAAATGCCTGACCAAAGGGGACCATGACAGGGAGCAAACATTCGCAGGATGCAAGTGTGCCTCCCACCGCTGCAAGGCCAGTCGCCATGTCACCAAAGCCGGGAGCCAGCACGGCCGGGTGACCGTTGGCATCTGTGTGCGAGGCCGCGGCACCAGATCGGGCCCAGAAGCCAGAGACGTCCTCGGGGACAGACTGCTCAGCACTCAGATTCGCGAGATTTCGCGAGACTTTGCGGTGACCCGCAGCCGGGCAGCGTAGACGGGCTGCTTGGCGTCCGGACCATGAAATCCCCATCCGGTCATTGGACAGAAGATCAGCCGCGGGTAGCGCTGCAGTAGTCTGCCCTCCTCCAGGCCGAGGCGCTGCAAGGACTCGTAGCCTCGGCTCTTCTCAGAAAAGGCCCGGGGGGGAGCATACGAGTACCGTCGGGCGCTGCCGGAGGACGATAGTTGGAGATGAAGACGTCCGATTTCTCGAGAAGCGCATGTAGCGCCAGCAGCCCAGCCTTCACGCAATACCCAACACATCGCTTGCAGCACAAGTGCAAAGGAAGTCTAAGTCGCCAACCTTCGCCTTCAGATTCAAGACGATGGATCGCTTTCCTCATCGCACGCAAGTGCCATCGGCCACTTGGCAGATCACTGAGCCTCCCTGAGCTTCACGCCACGGTTGACCGAATAGAAATGTGCAGAATGCTGGTACCTTGAGCTCGACAGCGCACCAAAGGCTACGCTCACGATCCAACAGTCCAAGTCGCGGGTCGGCGCTGGACTTGCCAAGCCTTGTGAGGAAAACACACTCAGAACTTTCTTCGTAAAACGTTTAGTGAAGATTATCACTGCTATTTTTATTTTGTTATTATCAGTGCTAGAATTTTTGAAGCTATTGACTGTCTCGCAATCTCAAACCAGAAGCCCGCTGACCATGTGGCGCTGCGTGTCGCCTCCAGGCGGCTCCACTTTGATCACGTCGGCACCGTAGTCCTGAAATGCAAACAATCATCTTCGGTTCGGAAAGGCGGCGCCGCAGCAGTCTATGCCAGCGTGTAAACACGCAACCACTGCAGCCGAGGCGTCACCCAGCACCTGACCTGCCGACGGAGCCTCTGCCAACAAAGTTCGCAGAGTCGAAGCTCTAACCCAGTGAATTACATGGCCACAACAGGCTTGCTTGCTTTCAGGCTCAAAACTTAGAGACGCTCTAGTCTGGAAGAAGCTCGCCGGAATGCTCATCTGCACATCTACATTCTAGATCGGATGGGCGACGGCAATAGCAATGGACAGCTCGAGCACGCGAATTCCCGACAAAGGCAGATGGTCATGCACCGCCATGAGGCTGGATATCTAACATACAGACGCTACTGTGTACTTTTGGAAACCCCGATCCAAGTCATTTATTAAGACGTGGAAGGATGCTGCTTGTAACATTTCTGCCGGTCAAAGGAATGGAATAATTACACGTTTTTTGCGGCAGGGCAACTACTAGTACATGCCCACTGCATCTGCATGTCACA